GTGATTGACTTCGAAGAAGCCTTTCATGTGCGCGCCATGGGGACCAAAGCCAATGAACTGGCAGCCCAAGCTAACACCAAAAAGACCGTCAAGTCCTTTGAAGAAATTGTGCCAGAAGAGTACCGCGAATTCAAAGATATCTTTGATAAAGAGAACTTCGATGAATTACCACCACGAAAACCCTGGGATCATGCCATTGAACTCATCCCCAATGCCAATGCCAATCTGGACTGTAAAGTCTACCCACTCAATCCAGCCGAACAGGAAGAGCTCGACAAGTTTCTCGACGAGAACTTGTCCACCGGACGCATTCAAGCCTCGAAGTCTCCTATGGCTTCACCCTTTTTCTTCGTAAAAAAGAAGGACGGGAGACTGCGCCCAGTGCAGGACTATCGCAAGCTCAACGAGATGACGATTAAAAACCGTTATCTGCTGCCCTTGATTGGAGAACTCATGGATCGGCTGAAGAAGGCCAAGTACTTCACCAAGCTGGACGTGCGATGGGGATATAACAACATCAGGATCAAGAAGGGGGACAAGTGGAAGGCAGCGTTTTGGACGAACCGGGGACTCTACGAACCCCTAGTCATGTTCTTTGGACTCACCAATTCCCCGGCCACATTCCAGTGGATGATGAATGATATCTTTAAAGACCTCATAGCGGCGGGAGAGGTGTCCGTGTACCTGGACGATATACTCATCGCCTCCAAGACAAAAGCCGAACACCGACGCATTGTACGTAAAGTACTCCAAATATTACGCGAAAACAAACTTTTCCTCAAAGCCGAGAAATGTGAATTCGAGGTAGAAGAGACGGAGTACTTAGGAGTCATCATTAGCGAAGGGAGGGTCCGCATGGACCCGGTCAAGGTCGCCGGCTTGCTCGACTGGCCAGTTCCCCGAAGGAAACAGGAGTTACAATCTTTCCTGGGGTTCTGCAACTTTTATCGGCGGTTCATCCGGGACTATAGTAAACACGTCAAGCCATTGACTTCACTCATGGGCAAACAGGAGTGGAAGTGGGGGGAGGCCCAGCAAAAGGTGTTCGAAAGGCTCAAGGAGCTATTCCGCGAAGATGTGGTACTAGCCATCCTGTTGAACGAAGGACGGTTCAGAGTAGAGGCGGACTCCAGCGAGGGGGCGATAGGGGCGGTACTATCCCAATGGCAAGAAGAGAAATGGTGACCAGTGGCCTTTCTCTCCAAAGCCTTGTCCGTAACCGAACGAAATTACGAGATCTACGACAAGGAGCTCCTGGCCATCATGATTGCCCTGGAAGAGTGGCGTCAGTATCTCATGGGAGCAAGGGAAGACTTCAAGATTTGGACGGACCATTCCAATCTCCAGTATTTCCGCAAGCCTCAGAAACTCAACCGACGACAAGCTTGGTGGGTAACGGAGCTCGCGGAGTACCAGTTCACCTTACACCATAAGCCGGGGGCGCAAAACTGCAAGGCAGACCTCTTATCTAGGAGAGCGGATCATGACCAGGGGAAGGAGGATAACAGAGACATCACGATGCTCAAGGCCGAACATTTCAGGGCTCTAATCATGCCCACTGCCGAAGAACTTCATGAACGGATCAAGATCGCTACGCACGACCCGCGTCACTGGGACAGAGGAATCTCCGACTCCCTGAACCATGAAAAAGGGGTCTCTCGCGACTAAGACCTTTTATGGTATGACGGACGGATTTATATACCAAGAAACCATGACCTTCGCGGGCAGATTATCGCTATCAAACATGATCACGCCACGGCGGGCCATCCGGGTATTGAAAAAACTAAGGAACTCTTACTTCGAGACTACTGGTGGCCCCGAATGCGCCGAGACGTGGAGGATTATATCAAAGGATGTGAGACCTGTCAAAGAACTAAAGCGGACCGTCGACCAAAGAAGGCCCCCCTTCATCCCAATGAGGTGCCCCTATGGCCATGGACTCATATTTCGGTCGACATGATCACCAAACTCCCGAATTCCAAGGGGTTCGATTCCATTCTAGTCATCGTCGACCGTTTCTCCAAAGCAATCATCCCGATCGCCTGCACCGAAGAACTTACCTCCCTAGGTTTCGCCAAGATCCTACGGGACTACGTTTACGTACCCTATGGGGTAATGCCTGAGAAGGTCATCTCAGATAGGGGCTCGGTGTTCGTCTCCAAGTTCATGAAGGAGTTTTACCAACTCCTCCAGGTACAAGGGAATCCTTCCACAGCGTATCACCCCCAGACCGACGGGCAGACGGAGAGGGTAAACCAGGAAATTGAGAAGTACCTCAAGATGTTCGTCAATGACCGACAGGACGACTGGAGTGAATGGCTGCCCTTGGCCGCTTTCACCCATAATAATCGCCAACACTCGGCGACGGGGTACTCCCCCTACAGGGTCATTTTCGGAAGGGATGGAGAAGTCATTAAAAGGACTCCTGGACCAGCCGCCGTCCCAGTGGCAGGAAAGTTGGTGGAAGAGATAGAAAAGGTGCAAAGCGAAGCAAAAAGGTCATTAGAAAAAGCGGCCGAGTCGATGAAGAAGGCCTATGACAAGCATAAGGACGTCGCCGTGGACTACCAGATCGGAGACAAGGTATGGCTCGATACGACCAACCTCCATCTCCCCCGTCCTACGAAAAAGTTGGGAGATCGACGGGTCGGCCCCTTCACGATTACCAACAAAAAGGGAGCTTCAGCCTACGAACTCAAGTTACCCGCGGGTTGGAAGATCCACAACCGCTTCAACAAGTCACTCCTGACTCCGTATGTCGCCCCAGCATTCCGGAATCAACCACGTCCGGGGAGACCACCTCCAGAGCTGATTGAAGACAAGGAGGAGTACGAGATTGAAGAGATCGTAGAACAGCGAGACAAAGTTGTCGGTCGAGGTCGAACCCGTCAGACCATAACGGAATACCTGGTAAAGTGGAAAGGATACCCAAGAGAGGAAAATTCTTGGGTTAAACGATCCAATATGGCCAATGCGGAGCAACTCGTCAACGAGTACGAAGCCCGCATCCAGAAAATTCAGTGGGAAGTCAATGACAGAGGAAAGACAGTTGGTATCGACCACAAGATACCACGTAATCTCCCTGTCGAGTATCACGACCCGACTACGCCCTGCCTCTCCGAAGTGGAAACCGTGTATTCTTCTCAGTGCTCCGCCCCAGGACATTCCGACGAAGAAATCAACGTAGTAGGGGACGTAGCTGCCTCAGACGCCGGATGAAACAAGGGACCTGTATCGACCACATCGTCCTTCCAAAAACTCGTAGTGGAAATTTCCGAGTCGATGGACCGCGCATTGCAGGAGAGAAACGCGAAATGGTTAAGGGACAACAAAGTCCCTGACAATAAATATTGGAAATACACTCCACCAAAAACCGACCCATGATTCGACAACCCCAGAGTTCGCGACTCCTACCTGCGACGACGCGCCCAAGAGATCAAAGACTCTCGACGGGAGAAAAGACCCTACGTAAACCCCCCAATCTTGCTCGACCCTCCGTCTGACGATGAGATCGATGTGAATAATCTTCAAAAGGTGACGGAAAATTGGGACTTCGATAGCGAAGATGATGACAACGATGATGACAGTGTTGTGTCCTCTTACAGTCAGTCACGACAAAGCGGAGAGGAGACTGAGGCCTCATTCGGGACGAACGAGTCATAGAGAGGGGGTAATGTTACGGTTTATTCTTTTCTTTTTCCTTACTCTCGTAATCATGCTTACGATACGACGCGATTCTGATCGGACATTCTCACAGTACTATTATTAGGATACCCAACATGTATTTAAGTAGAGCCTCAGCTGGTCTAAACCCCAGCTTCGGCTAAGGTTTAATCTACCTAACTCAAAGCTCCCTGTTTCGTGACTATCTAAGTTCACGACTGGCTCTCCTTCATCTACTTTGACCCCTCTCGTATCGTCCACCGAAGTGCGAGTGGCGATCTTGAGTTGATCTAAGTCGATAAGAGTTAGTGGCTAACAACCGAGGAGGAGGTGAACCTTCAAAACCTCCAACGTATTCATGAAAATTGGAATGGAGATGAAGAAGACAATGAGGATGATATACCATCCTTCTACTCCGAATCAAGAGGCTCAACTTTGGACGATGACGAGTGGGAGACTGAGGACTCATTCGGGATGAACGAGTCTTAAAGAGGGGGTAATGTTACAATTTATTCACTTTTTTCCTTTTTCTTTGTTTTACTCAGCCTGATTACTCATATGCGACCGTCACAGACAGTTTCTCACAGTACTATTATTAGCATATCCAAGTGTATTTAAGTAGAGCCTCAGCTGGCCTAAAACCCAGCTTCGGCTAAGGTTTAATCTACCCAACATCGAACTCCGTGTTTCATGTCTCCTTGTTCTCTATCGACTTGATACGTCGTCTTTGACTTGCTAGAGTATCGACCACCGAAGTGCGAGTGGTGATCCTAGTTCGATCTAAGTCGATTAAAGTTGGTTGATAACATTTGGGTAATCGATAGGGACATTCGATGTTGGTCACCGTTTGAAACAGTGAGAAACGTGAGAAGCAAGCTTCAGCTAAATGTTAGCCACCAACTTGACAAACAAAGATCAACAAGGGAACACCACTTGCACTTTGGTGGATTGTTCACGATGAGGTCTATGCTGGTCTGAATGAGCCAGTAACTAGACTTAGATAGTCATGGAGCGGGGAGCTTTAGAGTTGGGTAGATTAAACCTTAGCTGAAGCTGGGGTTTAAGCCAGCTGAGGCTCTACTTAAATACAAGTTCAGTATGCTAATAATAGACTACTGTAGTTCGGTAACCATGCATGAAACAATGGGAATCGTACAATGTCCAGGTGTCACAGCACAATGTGAGAGTCATGCATTGACAATGTGTGAACTGTCCGAGTGCTTGGATGCGCTGATAAGATAAAGACAAGCACTGAAGAAGAAAAATGGAAAAATTGTAACATCATCCTGATTAACACCATTGTAGATGTTATCATCTGCAGGCAGAGGCTTGGTCATAAGCTGGCCCCATGATGGTCTCCATTTTGCACCTGCATTTCCAGGTTCAGGGTATAAGAAGAAGAACTGTGCCCTTGACCTCACATCCGCTGAATTGACCAGTGCTGTCCATGCCTCCTCAAGAGACTGGCTCTCATAGTATGCTGGTATCGTCTCAGACTGCAGAAGAAATGCCAGCCCTGCAACTTTGTCCACTGGGTTCGTCAATACCCGATTTTGCATGATCTTCAGTGCTTCAAACACATGATTTTTTGAAATGTGATACACAGCCTGCAGCTGTTCATGAAATCTGGTCAGTAGCTCAGTCTCATACTTCCCATCCTTACACTTAGCATGCATTGGTCCATCCTGTGTGTTCCCACCAATCTCTCTGTATATGCCAACCTCCTGTAGTGTCCATGCATGTTTAAACCAAGACCAATTACTGTCCAAGTCACCCTCCTTCAAACTCAAAGGCCAACCCAGCCCATTCAAGTACCACACCATAGACAAATGATGTGTTTGATACACTGCTCCAATGGTGGGCACATCCAGCTTCCACTCTTCTGCATGCATATCTTCTCCTTGTCCACCTATCTGTCTCAAGCAGAGGACATCCAACCATGCATACTCCAGTCCAAGATTGAGCATCTCAATGCAGACAAGGTTGAGGCTGGCATCTTTTGGGATGGGAACAGGCCATTCATTTCTGTTGATAGGTGTCCACACATTGACACGATCCTTCTCATCCATCCATCCATGCAATATTGGCTGAGGCCAGCACCACATGAACTGGCAGTCATGAATGTTGGTGCACATGCACCAGCATGGCACCACTCGGTTGCTGTACAGATCCCACACACATCGGGGTTGCAAGTTTGAATTGATGATCCGGTTACCGTCAAGTGCTTCTTGTCGCATCCTCTGGTCCTCCTCCTCCCATTTACAAAGTTTAGCTTGTATATTGCTCCAGTCAGTGGGTGTACCATATTCGGCGGAGAAGGCCATATGCCGTGCCAAAGTCATAGTTGTTCGCAATGCATTCTGCAAGAAGGGAGGAGAGGGATAGGAGTGTCCAGATTGTATGATGTTCCGAGTGTGTAGTTGAGTTGATCCAAGATGCCCTTCACACTGAGGGTATCGCAGGGAGTGTCAGCAAGGTAGGATGATATCACAGGCATGGCACTACTGGTGTACACCCATTGCAATGGAATGATGATCGACAAATCCGCCTGGCCTGTCTCAGCGAAGGCGGAGATGGTGACCTTGGGGAAAGATATTCCCTGGAAGTGTTATCAATTTCTCCTCTGTTTCAGTTTGCCGACTGACTTACCCACTGCGGGGGCCATCGTCCATCGTCATCAAGCATCAGACTGTCAAAAAAGCGATTGATTTAAGACCCCTTGAACGGCGCTAATGACATCGTACTGAGTACTCGAAGTGAGATGGATTAATAATATGTACTAGTTCCTATCTTCCAGGCTCACGATGGATATGCAATGAAGAGAGTGCTAAATGAGAAACTGTTTGCCTCGAGGTAGGCAGTGGTCGAAGGTCACAACTTGAATTCAACTCCGCACTGATGCGAGGTCATCGTGTGAACAATATGGTAGAAATCTTCATCCTCTCGAGTTCATCAAGGTTGCACAGCAAGGAGCGCCCTGTTTCCAGAACGTTAGCCTACAGATTGGGAACATGTTTATCATCGTAAGGATTGGTGGAATGGCCTCAAAGGAATGAATTTTGCCAAGGACTCGGACGGCGCATAGGTTTATTCATACTGTAAGCGCTACTTCGAATAGGCGTGCTCTTTATGCCCATTTAGATCTCTTGCATTCGGATGAACGGATGGAGTGCCCAAAACTCCTGTCAAACATGGTCGAACAGACGCTGCAGAAAGATACTCTATCCATTCCCCCGGTCTATCTATAATCTGCTCGGATCGCAGTTTTGCAATCCCCCTAACAGCTGCCCTCTGGATTCATCCTCGATATGGACAGACTGACCCATCTAGACAGCGAGATCAAATCACGATTTTCGACCGGTAAGGAGTTGACTCCGGCTTATCCTGCATGAAGGAGATTAGGTTAGCTTCCACAGATAGAGCCAAGCATTTGAGAGGAAAAACTGATATCTATCATGAGAACTTACTTTGCGGGAGAAGGAGCGTAGTACCATTAAAATAGCCCTGTAAATTGAGATATGTGAATCAAATGGGCCTGTTCTTCAACAAATAAATGAAAACATGAGTACGAGCCAATGATGTGCTATGGGAAAGATAGAACTGACTTCAAGTCGATGCCCCGAGTGCTGTTCTTCGAAATTTAAACCAGTGAAACGAGATGGCTTCCCCAAATTCATGGCGCCTTCGAGGTTGAAACGGGTGCTCTAGAATTCCTGTCCAAAATAACAGCATTGGCAGGTCGAAAAGTAATTTGTTGCAGCCTAGAATACGCAAGGGTGCTGACACAGAAATTAAGCAATGACGAGATAGCAATACGAATTGAAGAACAGGAACAGGTTGGTAGATCGCAGTTTAGCTAACACTTTAGTACGTTGGATTTGCCATCCTGCTGAATTCTGGAAGTTCCGAGTCGTTGAGTCAAAAAGAATGCAGCAAACTGTGCGAGAGAAATATTGATGAAGGACAAGGATATAAATGCGGCTGAATACATCAAAGCTCCCAGAGCCAGTGCTTATCCTCCCATTACGATGCTTTCCTTTGCTCCTGTTGTTCATGAACTCGCTAGCCTTGGTTATATCTCCACCTCGTCATTTCCAGACCAGCAGCTCCTGCAACTTTTTCCTGATACATTCATCGATGGAGAGACGTCTCATTTGTTGTCCAACCTTCTCACCTGCATGAACGCTTTAAAATGTGCCGTGTGGGTGTTGCCATGGCTGACGTCATGATCTCAGCGAGGAAAGGTTTTTAAGTTGTACAGAGCGAATGGCAAACATGCTTCTCGTTCAGAACGTTTGGTGGCTGATAGTCCATGCAGCGCGTGTTCCATCCCGCAAGACGATTGCTGAGCACACACCATCAATGCCGTATCCAAGTAAATCAGCACCACAGTGCACAGCCTGCTATATACACTCCCCAGTCGATCACTGAGTGTCGATGATTCGAGCTGTTGTTCCCAACTTCAATCCCGTCGGGTAGAGCTCTCCTGCTACCTTGATCGATATGGAACCAAGTTGGACGGTGCCATCAAGTGATGGGAGGCTATCGAGGTCAAAATCAGATGAAGGTAGTGGTGGATCCGGCAAGGATCATACCGTCAAATGATGGACTCGGCAGACGTAGTAATAAAATCCACGACAGAATCGTCGTATGGGATTAGCACCGCATGAGATGCCTTTCTTTTCTGCAGAGATACTTTTGCCTAAGAGACATGATTAGTAGGCGGGACATACTATCTGCGAGAGTAACTCAACGGTTGCTGATTATCATATCCTGTAGTATGGACAGTAAAGTAAGTTCCTCCTCTAGTTCTCCATTCAGAATCGCGTGTTGAGTTGGTGCCCATCCGCGTAATCTTCAAGTTGGGAAGAAGGGATGGGTGGGTGTTCCTCGGAGCGAAGTGACCAAGAAAACGAGAAGAGAGGATACGCCCGAAAGAATCTGTGATGCTTCCTTGAATAGGTCTGCTCAGATCTGAGGATGAAGCGAATATATATGTGGTCTAGTAGATATGAATAAGTTACAAGAAAGCATGTACGGTGACAGACAAGACTCACAAGTTCAACATTCACAACTTATGAAGGGAAAAAATTCGTCTGGAGGAAGGAAACTGGTGGAGAAGTCGGGGGTAAGTTTGGTGACCGGATGAATGATTATTGAAGGAGTCGAAGGGCATCCAGCGAGTGAGTCGAGGTTGATACAAGTTAAGACTTGTTTTCTCCGTCATTTATTTGCCTTTCTGTGCTCTACCAGAATTCCACGCCAAGGAATAGGGATGGTTTGTTCCTCCTGGATCCAGACTTCCGCTCAGAGTTTGACGATGAAGATCAAGGCGGAGATTTAAGAGATCCTGCTCCGTATAACGCGCTGGTATTGGCATTGATATCCTTCTAGCCCTGTCCCCGCAAAAGTCTGGTTTTCGAATGTCGGCACATTTTACATCAAAACAGGCCGTTGTTCGAGTTCACGTAGGCCGCACGTGTTCAGCTCGGTTTGTTTTCGTAGTGCTGATGCGAGATAGGCCATCGACGCATAGGGAGAAAGAGAAGAAGAGGATAGAGATCGGGAAGAGATGAGAAGATGCAGCGTGCTGTACGGGACGGAGGAAGTGCTGAAAGCTATGTACGTCCGTTGCGTCCATTTGGTTTTGGTGACGTCACGCTTCTTGTTCCTTCCCGACGACATACTGAGGCTCACGGCAAGCAATATTTCTTTTCCCTTCTTTTCCCCTTTCATTCCAGCCGGCCAGGACTGCCAAACACTTGAGACCAATGCCCACTTCCCCGCGACGGACAGGGCAAAAAAAAACAGACGTCGACGTTGGTGGGAGATTGGAGTCTGGACTCTGGAGACGGCGATGAGAACTGCCTGACTTGTGTGCGCTCGTAGTGCAAGTTCCTTCTCTCCGGTTGTACGACATTCTCCCGAGTTGGAGATTGTGTTCCAGAGCGTCCGCATCTCTGGAATCTCGCTCAAGCATGCGACTCCCCTCCCTCACCGCCAAGACCCGCGCCCCTTCCACAAATACGGATGCTCCACGTCGATGGCGCCTGAAGCTTAATTTAACCCAGGACGTCCGACACGTCCATCCTCATCTTCCTTCATGCCCCCAATCAACTACTATCACCCATCACTGACTCCCGCGACACAAATGATTTCACCATTACGATCTTTTACCAGGCCGACCAAGAAGCACTGGATGGCGCGCCTACTTCCTTGACTCGTCGCATCGAGAACGGCCCAAGGACGGAGGATGGGATGGCAAACTACCATTAGGAGATAGAACCAGTGAGCAACGCGTCAATCTCAAAGATTACCAATTCTAGCGTTGAGGACTAATTGGGGGACGATGGGCGTTGATGTTATGTTCGACGAAGAGGGACAATAGGAAGAGGAGGGAAAAGACTGGGAATTCCGAAGACATGAATCGGACAAAGAGGGCGAGGACTGCGACGCTGCAATCAGTGAGGACAGGGAGCGAAGAGGCCCTCACTGTTGGCGAATCTTCGAAATCCCTCAAATCAAAGGTCAACAAAGCCGTCTTCATGACAGTTCCCAAATCCAATCACCGCTGCCGGCAAAAGCCTCCTCTGTGCACACCATCCTTGGCTCCGAGTCGAACCTTCGTGACTGCGAGAACCCGCTCGGTGGAGCTCTTCGACTACCAGAACTTTTGAGAAAGCGCGACGTCATGACCTGGTGTACTAAGCTCATGCGGAGTGATGCTGATGGGTGCGTCGACGTTGAAGTTGCTGTATACAAAAAGGGTGTGGCTTGAGGATCGTCAGACGAAAGCTCACTCGTCCACCGTTCCCAAGCCCAACTGCGTTCAGAGCAAGCTCTACCTCATTGCATTTGGCACCGATCAGCTCTCCATTGCGCACCGGCCAGTGCTGGAAAGGTATGCGTGTTTAGTTGCGTCCCGGTCTCGTCGCTAACTATTCCTTAATACTTAGGTCAATATTGCTATGCTTACAATCCTGAACTATCCCTCCAAGTTTCAAGATAACGCTACCGGACCTTGGCCCGTTCAAAATTATCCACGTGTCCAAGCAAATGGTCGGCTCAAAGTATCTGGTGTCAAAACCGGAGAACTTGCAAATGAACGAAGCAATGGATTGCCAAACATAACCGTACCAAGAATCTCTTTCCCCTCTTCAGTCTCCCGAACATTCTCTATCACGTTAGAATTCGGGTCAAGAACGAAGGTCGAGATCTTGTACTCGTCCGACACACCTCCCCGGGTTGCAAGATGCTTGTATCTGCAACATGTGCAGAGACCTCGGCCTGAACACTCGCATATGTGTGTTTTCAGGACACTGAGGCAGGTGCCGCACTTCGTGCCAGAGCGGATTCAGCGGTGTAAAGATGCCGGCATCGAATCTGTGTACAATATCATGGAGATGGAGGACGACAAGTGAACAGCACTCTTAGAAATGTCCCATGCGCAGATGTAAGCATTTTTGCACAGGTGTAACGTATCCTCATTTGATTTTACGGGCATTGCTACGTTCGTCAACTCGTACCAAGGAATGATTTCTGTATTTTGGTAAAGCTGTCTGCGTTATTGTCTTATCTGTAGTAATTGTATTGTAGTTCGATGAATGATTTATGAACCTGCTACGCAGGAAATCCTTATAATTCACACTAAATAACATGAATTACATCGTCCAACCAAGAGAACGACCTAGTCAAACCAGATCAGCATCATCAGGCACCGTCGAGGGATTTCTTCGCTGAAATCGGAGAGAGAAAAGTCAGAATAGAAGTAGTAAGTGTAAAGAAATTTGCGATGTACACGAAGGACAGAGTGCATCAGAACATCTGCATTGGGACGCTCGTTGTCCGGATGATTACCCTGGGGGACGTACTTTGACGGAAAAAGGAGAGCCTCCGCTCTGAATTCGTCCAGTGACATTGACCCTTTAGCTGAAAAGGGGGTATTGGTGGCATATGCATCCTTACGATCGGCCATCTCTGTCCGCAATTTGATCCATGGAACTAATAGTAGAACAGAAAAATCAAGGAAGAAAACGAGGGTGATGCTCACTTACGGCTTATGTAGAACACCATGTAATGCATATAAGCCCAGGCGAATATCTCCAGTTCGGTATCAACATCCGAGTCGTGTAGTTCAACGTCCCGTCTACTAGCCAAGATCGAAAAGAACAGCTTATGCCACTCAGGATCCTTCGACACTCCCGGAGGCGGCGGAAAGCGTGCATGGTCGCCTTGGTAGAGCATATTGACGTGGCTTTCGCTATCGCGCAGGAATTGAGACACTGGTCCCAATTTCGCCCTCTGGAGTTCGTAAAGGCTGGGCCAGAGAGAACGGCATGTTTGGTCGGGATCAGGAACCTCAGCCTCGGCATCGGCAAGGCTCGGGATGAGTTCGTTATGGAAGGTAGCGATCCCAGCAGAGAGGTAGGGAGAGTGGATAATGTACACCTCTGTGGCATCCGGGGGGATCGGCCCATAGTCAGCGAAGAATGGGCCATACTTGAAGTCAGGGTTCCATTGAAATGGGAGATAATTTGAGTGACCGTAGATGGGGGAGACGGGTCGGGGCTTCAGGTATATCTGGACCTTGGACATAGGAGAAAGAGAAAGAGACTTGGTATATGGATGATCGGCCCGGGAGCCTGAGATTGAGCTTGGAGGACCTCAGACATCTCCAGGTTGAACTTGCAGTGCGGAACAGCTGTATACGCGCTGGATTGAACTCTCATCAAGACATTTTTCCCATACAGATATACGCATATGACTTGATAAAAAGAATATTGTACTATGTAATGTGTCACTCAAACAAGAATATATCGACCCTTCTTCGTAATTTGTAGATCCTGTAACCGATCCCATTCTCCTTCATCAAGAACTTTGAACACCGACACCTTCTCAAACTTCTCTCCCCCTGGCAGGTTCGCCCCAACGATACAGCAGCGAGAACCATCAACATACCAAGGGGGGTAATAGGAAAGAATCAGGGGTGTAAGTGTTTTCAGGTATCAGGTACTCGTGTGTGGCCTTGATCTTGAATCCATGTTCTATCCTATTCTTGTCTTCAACAATCAATTCTCCACGTCGATAACCCCCTTCCACAGCAGCCAATCCCCGCCACCAACCCCTTTTCAATGTACTCCACATCACACCAGTCTTCATTCATCTCCTCATCCCAAACAACTTCGATCTGAGTGTAAACACCTTCGGACAGGGGCTTCGTCATAATCTGGTCCCATGATGATCTCCATTTTGTGCCTGCATTTCCCGGTTCAGGGCAACCGAGGAAGAGCTGTCCCCGAACGAGTACATCCATCGAATTGACGAGTGCTGTCCATGCGTCTTCAAGATACTCGTCCTCATAGTATGCCGGTATCCAATCGGGGTTCAGACGAAATGCCAGGCCGGCGACTTTGTCCACCGGGTTGGTCGACACCCGATTCTGCATGCTCTCCAGTGTTTCAAATGTCGACATGCGATGTGTAGACTTCAGCTGCCTGTGAAACCTGGTTAGTAGCTTGGTCTCATAGTTCCCATCCTCATCTATTGGCTCTACATGCATTGGTCCATCTGGTGTGTCCCCACCAATCAGCCTGTTGTAGTAGCCAACCTCCTGTAGTGTCCAAGCACGTCTAAACCATGACCGATCACTATCTAAGTCGCCTTCCTTCAAAGTCAAAGGCCGACCCAGCTCACTCAAGTAAATCACCACCCTGTTACCCCAATACACTGATCCAATGGTGGGCACATCCAGCTTCCACTCTTCCGGGCGCATATCCTCTCCTCGTCCACCCACCTGTCTCAAACAGAGAACGTCCAACTACACATACTCCTCTTCAAGAATATTGAGCATCTCGATGCGGACCAGGTTGAGGTCAGCATCTTTCGGGATGGGAACAGGCCATTCATGTCCGTTAATGGGTGTCCACACAGCGACCCGGTCCTTCTCATCCATCCACGCATGAGATATCGCCCGAACACGCCCGCGCATGCCCCAGCACATGCCCGTGAACCACCATGGAACCACCCGATTACTGTACAGATCCCAGACACGTCGAGGGTCCAAGTACGGCTGCACTATCCGGTTACCAACAAGTGCTCTTCTTCGCATCTCCCGATCCTGCTCTTTCCATTCCCAGACTTGATCTCGTATAGTGCTCCAGTTGTCGGTGTACCATATTCGACGAAGGCGGCTATATGCCATGCCAACGTCGTACTTCTTTGTGATGCACTCTTCAAGAAGGGAGGAGAGAGATTGAGTGCCCAGGCCGTATGACGTTCCAAGTGTTGTGTTGAGTAGATCCAAGAGGCCCTGAACACCGAGGGTAGCACAGGGAGTGTCAGCAACGCGAGACGATATCACAGGCTTTCTACCAGTGTACACCTGTTGCAATGGAACGGTGATTGACGACTCCTCTTGGCCCATCTCAGTGAATGCGGAGATGGCCACTGCAGGAAGAGAGATATGCTGGAGATGTATTATCTATTTGCACTCTGTTTCTTTGCCAATAGACTTACCTCTGGTTGAAGCCATGGTCTAACAATATCGGATTCACTGGCAGAAGATGCGTCAGAATCATCATCCGAAGTGTCACTAGATTGTTCTTCCTTGGGACTAGTCTGTAAATCCATATCGGAGGGTAGTTCTGGATAGTGAGGCGACGAGTCTGGTGTCGCCTCCAAAACAGGACCAACATCTTCTGAAATAGAATGACCGCGCTCCTCTCGCGGCTCGGACGGCATGGTTGTGTTGGTATTTTCGTCCAGTCCAGAGCTTTCGTCAGGAGATGGACCTTTAATAGCCTGAGCAGTCGCAAAGACGGAGTATATGTCGTTCTGAATTGACATCACACTGCTGGAAATTGATTGGACCTTGGTCGATGCTAATAACCTTGCATTTAGTACTCGAAATGAGAGGGACTAATGGCACATACTAGTTCTTATCTTCCAGGCTCACGATGGGTGTGCAGTCAAGGGAGTGAAAAATGAAAAGCTATTGCCTCTAGGCAGGCAGTGTCGCAGGTTATAGCTTGAATTCAACTCCGGACTGATGCGAGGTTCTTCGTGTGAATAGAAGTCTTCGACATCTCACGCTCATAAAGGCTGTACCACAAGGGACCGTTTGTTTTCGGAATGTTGATTTGGAGATCAGAAAAAAGTTTATTAGGGCAAGGATTAGTGGAATAAGGTTAAAAGCATGAATTTATAGGTTTATTCATACCATAAACACTACTTCGAATAGACGCGTTCTTTATGCCCATTTCGATATCTTGCGTTTGTACGAATGGATAAAAAAGCGCCCAAAGATCCTGCCGAACACAGCCAGACAGACGCCGCAGGACAGATTCCGCAAAGGTATATTCTATCCGTTCTCCGACTTATCTGCTCGGATCGCGGTTGTCCAGTCCCCAACAACTCCCCCCGGGCTTCGTCTTCGACATGGATAAGTCCGACCCGTCTACACAATGAAGTAGAACCAAGGTCGAAATGGGTGCTCTAGAATTTCCATCAGAAAGAATAGCATTGGCGGGTCGAAAAGCAATTGGTCGCAATTCAGAATATGCGAGGATGCTGATGCAAAGGTTAGGCAACGACGAGACAGAAATACGAACAGGTTGGCGGTCGCAGCTTTAGTACGCCGGACTTGCCATTCTACCGAATTTCGGAAGTTTCGTGTTCATGAGTCGAAAAGGGTTCGACGAACTGAACGAGAAGAATATCGGTGAAGATGGGTAAGTACATGAACGTGGCTGACGCGTTTGATTGCACCAAAGTCCACAGCGCCGGCGCTTATCCTCTGCCCTCTTTTGCTCGTATCCTCTATCTTTCAAACGTTCTGGAATTAGGTGAAGTATGTCGAATGTTTTGATTCCGCTCGACCCACGCGAACCTCGCTAACTTTGGTTACATCACCACCTCGCCGTTTCCAGACCAGCAGCTCCCGCAGTCTTTTCCCTGAAACCTCCATCGATGGAGGGACGTCTCGTTCGTTGAACGAGAAGCATGTCCGTCATCGCTCTGTACAACTGAAATTCCTTCCTCGCTGAGATCATGATCTCGGTCACAGCAGCACCCGCACGGCACATCGACGTCAACTTCAAGTTGTTCGTGCGGGTGAGAAGGTCGATAGTCCATGCAGCGCGTGCACCATCCCGCAAGATGATTACTGAGCCCACACTGGAATACGACTGTCAATGCCGTATCCAAGAATCTGCCAGAAACCGACTCAACGGCGCACTGACTGCTAGGCTTGACAGTATGTATTCCCCAGTTGTCGATGATTCGACCCCGTTGGCCCCAATTTTGATCATGTCGAGTCGAACTCTTCTACCCTTGAGCGATAAGGAACCAAGTTGGACGGTACCCTCAATGCGTGCACGGATGAGACGCGGTCAAAATTAGATGTCGGTAGCGGTGAGTCCGACAAGGATTTGCCTGATGTCCCATAGTTCGATAACGTCGAACAATGGACTGGGCGGACAGTGGTAAGATCAAGAACAGAGTTGTCGTACATTGTCAGACGCTTCTCCGGTCTGCGGGAATGTCTTTGCCTACGTATCACATTTAGTAGGCTGAATATATCAACTGAGAGAAAAACTCAACGAGTTCCTGATATTATAAACCGTGGATACCAACAGTTTTCCTCCTCGCAAGGCCAACGAATCGTGTAAATCAAGGTAGCCTTTATATTTAGCGTGTCAAAGAAGAGAAATCCGCGAACAATATTTCCATACCAGCTTATCGGACTCCCACCCTGGACATATGGCATCCTTGCCCCCTTCCTCTTGAACACCCAAAATGATGGCTCCAAATCGCCTGTCGTATAGGCCAATCGTAAGTCGATCGTCTCTCGGTGTCGTCCTCAACGGCTCCTCCTATGAAAGCGGCATTTTTTGCAGAGACGATGCCTCGCTGTACGACGTCAAAGCAGGCCTATCGTTCGAGTTTGGACGGAGGATGGAGGTGCTGTCGATGAGGCGAGCACAATGGCCAATCGACGCGTAGGGAGAAGTGTGAAAGCTCGGCAAGTCTGTTTTGCCCGGTTTTGCCGGTTTTGCAATTGGTGACGTCACATTTCTTGGGATACTTCCCAGAGTTTGGCAAGCGAATTTTCTTTTTCTTTTCACAATCGTTCTGACCTTGTATTACAGCTCACCACAAATGTACACTCGAGACCAAGGCAAATCTGAGATGGAGACACAGATGTCGACGTAGACTGTCTGGACTCTGGAGACGGAGTGCTGGTTCCTTTCTTCCTCTCGCGTTCAAGTCCGAGTTTGGGTAGTCAAACGAAAACGAACCCTTCACCAAGGGAAGGAAGATGGCAAGAGCGCGTCATTCACCCGTACGCGTACTGATTCTTGCCGACGGCCATAGGGTACCCGCCACGCAGTACTCGATCGTGTAGCAGCCCATCCTCCGAGTACGGTTGTGGGAGGATGATTTTGACGGGGTATCAATATATCAATGGTGGTTTTGAGTGACAAGGAGGAGGCTGTTTGTGCAGGAGGAGCGGCGGATTCATGTTGGATCTCACTCTCGCCTTCAAGCTCCACTGTTCAAAAAGCGACTTTATGCCTGCGATAAATGTACGTCCAACATCCTCCTACCACCAATAACTCATACCACAGTCGCCTCAACCCACACTCAAAGTTTCTCTTCTACGCCTCTCACCTACGCCAATAAGCACGGCGTAATCCCTATATTACCCAAGTCCACGGTCCGGCTTTTTCAAGCACACGCTTGCTTCCCCTCAAAAGCCTCGTTTGCAGGATGCGCCCTCAGTTTTGGCGGACGACGAGGTGATGTCTATAACGTGAGGCTGGGTAGCAAGTACCTTCTCATACCTCAGGATGGTCCAAGCTAAGAAGGCCTTTCTTCGGCACTACGCAATTCCTCTTTAGCGTGGAACTTTCTACTCGCTAGCATGGGACCGGGTTATGTTCGCGCCTCAAGGCCTCGAGGATAATCACACCGCGCATCCGCACTGTAAGTCTACACCTCTCTTGTCTCTTTCATAAATTTGGCTACCTTTATACACCTGGCATTTGACGCTGGGACAACGGATACCTCGGTACAAGCGCAGCTGCAGTGAGGAGGCCAGCTAATTATTTCAGGGTACTTTACACGCATGGAAAGCACTTAAATTTAATATATAACACTTGACTTGCATAATTTACCCTGGAGGATACGAAAGAAGGATGTATTCAGGAGACACGATGTACTGGAGAATAGGATTGGTACGGGTTATGTGCCGAGGATCCAGTCGGCCTGCATGCTGCGCTCCTCTAGCTCTTCAACTGCTCGTTCAAGTTCCTCATACCCAAACATGGCATCTCGGACAACGCCTCCGTCTTCTTGACGCTTGCTACGTTACGGGAAAGGTAGTGCCCAACGAAGCAGTACTTTGATTCCTCCCGTAGTTCCCTTCAATTACAACCGTTGAATACGTATCGCGCCGGCAAAGAACAAGCCTACAGTGAAATTATCCATTGCACGAAATTCAGCATGTACCACCGACACCCTTCCCAGTCTCATCGCAAAAGCGACTCTCCCAGAAAATACACGGACTTTCCTCCATACGCACGCGCGACGCTAAGCTCCGGATCCGTCCGTTTGGCCAAAATGCACTAACAGACGGTAGATGAAGGGAGAGGCCGTATTCAATGTTGGATATTTTATCCTACCGCGAGGTGATCGAGCTCTATTTGTGGAAAGGGAGCAGCCGGTGGAGACGAGGGGTAAACATATCCTATATGGTATTGGGATTGCAGACACCCCAATTGCGAGCCACGACCCCCGAATTCTCGTCCGAACGCGTCCCCCAATTCATTCAGGTTAGAACCAGTTGTGGTGATGGGGAGTGAGTATTTCGTCACGCTTGGCGTCAGTTGAGTGTTTTGGTATGGGGATTGGGCTGAGTGAAGGAGTCGTTGGAGGCAGTTGGGAGTAGTGAAGCAATGACACTGGATTATGAGCAAGGTCGCTCGGGTAAGATGATACGACCAGGCGTTGTGCACAAAGGTGCAGTCAGTGGATAAGAAGCATCCAGAGAATTTGCAGCTCCGAAGGGCAGTCCTGGCTTGAAGACGTTGACGTACGTCTGCAATGGGGGGAGTGTTGGAGTATGCGATGGCAGGTGTGTGTTTTCGTTGTTTACTTGCAATTGGTAGGATGTCTGCACAGCGGAGCGTGCCGGGTGAATCATGTACAGCTTTGTCAAGTGTTGGACTTCCGATGTTGGATATTAAAATCGCCGGACAACGTCCTCAGAACACTGACGTCGAATGCCTCAAACGCGTACCGGTGTTCGACGTTGTCCCGCAATGTGCTATCGACGTGGAGTTTCCATATTTGTAGAAAAGGCGCAGCTGGTAGAGGCGAGAGTCGCATGCATGACTGGATTCCAAGATGTAGACGCTCCCGAAACACAATCCCCAACCCCGCGCCACTCTCCAAACGCGTCTCCCAGTCTGCCATAGCACGGCCATCAGAGCGTGAGGCCCCGCAACTCGGTTCTGGCATCCGACTGCGTTCCTTCCATCTGTATGTGAGGTGCTCGTCTTGCTGTATCTGCACTCGAAAACTGGTACAAAGTGCATTTGGTTGCATGGGTGCTGAGAGTGAGGCCTGAGGCCCGGTTAGATTATGACGGCTGCACGATGATCAAGGCCTCATATGCAGTTTGTCGCGGATTATTGAGGATGGTGCAACGAAGGCTGCATCTGGATTGGACCTGAGCTGAATCTGTCAGTCCTGCTCTCGCCGAGGATCCTATCAGTTCGTGCTCGTCGGTGTGGCTGGATGGCAACTGGTGATGGTAGTCGGAGCGTGAGAACATCTGAGGACGTGCTGCTGACACTCGATCCAGTCATCCCTCCTGTCTGACGCGTTAGCTTTACTCTCTTCTCTTCCTTCGCGTCTATTCGTAATCTCAGAATCGGGTCCTGACGTCCGACACTTCGAGGATCCATCCTCGCCTTCCCTTGCGCCCTCACCCAAATTCAGTGCTCCCCTACCATTGCTAGACCTATCACCCATCACTTGTCACAAATGATTTCACCATAATGATCTCTAGCCCGACGTGTCTATATCAACCACGATCAGATCGTTCTTGAGGATTATTTTAGAGAATATCTAGAGCACAGTGTAGTCAACGCCCACGCGCAAGCACCACCTTCGAAAGAGTCACACCCGGCTCTTTCTCAGTACAATCATGGCGTTATTCCCTCTCTAGTTCTTACTACAGACCAATCTGCACCCTCTCAAAGACAGCGAGAAGCGACTGGTGCACCTACTTTGCTGACTGGCCCCATTGATCCGTCTTCTCGTGTCATCCAAGAATGCCTAAGAACGAAAAAGACGGCGGAAAACCACCAATAGCAGGTGAATAGCTCGTCAGTCTGTCGAAGAAGATTACCGACTACAGTGTCGAGGACAAGCCAGGGTTGGATCCTGGTATATTGCAGAGACTGACGATGAGTTGACGATGCAAGGTTTCGATGAAGAGGAACAATAGTAAGAGGGTGAAGAAGGCGTTGATTTCAGAGATGGTCGGACGAGGAAGATGAGGGCGAGGGCTGCGAGGCTGCAGTTTACAAAGAGGCACTCATCATTGGTGGCGAACCTTCGAAATCCCTCAAATCCAAGGTCGACAAAGCTGTATCCAGTTTCTTCCCATATCACAGCTACCGACATCTCTCCATCCTCAGCTCCGACTCTAACCTTCGTGATTGCGAAAACCATCTCATGGAGCTCTTTGACTACCAGAGCTTTCGTATCACGTCAAAATCCTCGAAAAAGAACACCGCTATATGATTGTCTGGTATACGGGGCTCATGCGGAGTGACGCCGATACGTACGTCAACTCGTTGAAGTTGCTGTACATGACAAGGGCATGGGTTGGGGATCATCAGACGAAGGCTCGCTCGTTTACCATTCCCCTGCTTCACCACGTTCAGAGCGAGCTTTCCCCCACGGCATTTGGCATCGACGACACTGTTCTTCTTTGCGCCCTCACCGGTGCCGAAAAGGTATGTTTCTTAGAGTGCATCCTGGTTTTGTTGCTGACTATTCCTTCATCCTTAGATCCAACTCTAAACGAGCTATCCAAATATCGTAATGAGACTGCCAGTATTTCGAGCTTGACGTGGCCAAGATCACCTACGTTGCTTCAGTCCAAGAAAAAATCGGCAACTTCATCGCTAGGCTCAAAGTATTGGTATCAAAATCGGCAAACTTACAAACGATCTCAAATGACGAATCACCGGATTACTGGACATCACCGTACCAAGAATCTCCTTCTCCACTTTCGTCTCTCTACGGTCCCCACCGCGTTACAACCTGTGTTGAGAACAAAGACCAAGATCTTGCACTCATTCGGGGTACATTTTCCCGGGATGAAGCCTGGAAACTGACAAAGAGGCGTTTTCGAAAGGGTCTACCAGCATCTCTGTCGGAGATGACTGTGCAGAAATGCGGCAGTTGAAACAGATGACAAGGTTTTCGCAGAGCTCGTGAGGAAATGGAAACCCAGAGAGGGCTACGATTTCCAGAGCTCGTAGACTAGTTGAACGGACTTTTTCGCTTCACACTGACTTTGGGGGCTGCAGCAACAAGTTCATCAGAGTCACTGAAAAGGCGAACAAGCCATACGAAGCCTTCGACGAGAAATTCCTCACTCTGGCTCAGAACAGTTTTCTTGCACCTGCCAACAGTGGCTGAAAAAACAGCGAAATCCCTGGGGGACATGGCGGTGGGGGAGACGATTACTAGCGAATACGGAAAGAATCCTAAACTTCACGATCTTCTTCTTGTCGGTGTCGGTATCCATTACGCTGGTATGACGTGCCAGGGAAGATCGTTCGTTCCCTGGTGGAAGTGCTGTTTGTGGGTGGATCTGTTCAAGTTCTCGTGTGTACTGCGATGCGTCAATCTGCCAGCGTATATGGTCGTCATAAAGGGAACGCAGATCTACAATCTGGAGACGGGTCGTTGGGTTGAGCTGTCTCCACAGGACGGGCACCAGAGTATCGAGTTGCGTCGTATTACTATGTGACATATAATTCGATGATGGTGTCCAATCAACATCTGAAGCCGACAATGTCGACTCTGGAACTGTTCCGTGTTTTCTCGCTATTGATCGAGTTCAAGCTGTTACCTGTACGTTCAATCGTCCCAAATCGTTCGTTACATTAACTCCATTATTTAGGTCTGCCAAGAAGAGAAGGTGAAACTTGTGAGGCTATTAGAGTGTGTCCCTATCCCTGTGAGAGAAACAGAGCCGGTGGCTAAAATGTTCTCCAGTTTCCCAACTTGATGGTATGTCAAATCGTTTTTCGTTCTTCGTAGGCTAACTTTACATCTAAGATTGGTTCTTGTTGTTGACATGGTGTTCGTTCATCAATCAGCCGGACGGTATCCCTGTTTTCCCTTCGACTTTCAGGTGTGCTGGTCAATTATTAGTATTCTTCGAGCAATCTTTGAAATATGTCTGAAACGTGGATGGGCCGTTCCTGCAAAGCAGCTCTTGACCTCTGCAAGATGGTTGAAAACCGAATGTAAGCCATATCTTATGTTGCTCTCTTTCGCTAATGTTGACCTTGGATCAGGTGGGGGTCGATGATGCCTCTCGAACAGTTCAAAGGCGTTCCTTCAGAAGCCATAAGAAAAGCCGAGGGTAAACAATTTGTCCCTAACACCTCACCTTGCATGAACTTTTGGTCGTAATGGTACAGTACTCAGGTATGCATGAGAGCTACTCGAGCGGGTAAAGAGCTACTACAGAATGTGTACTTGCTCAAATAAGAATATATCGGCATTTTTTAGTAATATGCAGATCATATAACCTATTCTGTTCTTCCTCAGAAATTTCCAGCACCGACACTTTCTCAAACTTTCCCCCTGGCAGGCTTCGCCCAACAACCCAACTATAGCATGATCTGTGCCAATGACTGCAAGGTCCAATCAGTGTGTAAGTGTCATCAGGTATTGGGTATGTGTGGGTGGCAGTGATCTTGAATCCATGTTCTATCCCACCCGTGTCTTTAACAATCAACTCTCCATGTCGATCACCCCCGGGCCCTTCCACAACAGCCAACCCCCGCATCAACCCCTTTTCAATGTAGCGCATGTCAAGCAAGTCCTCATCCCCCGTCCCATCCCAACCAATCTCGACACTGGAGTTATGATCATATGCGGGCAGAGGCTTCATCATAACCTGGTCTCACGATGGCCTCCATTTTTTACCCGAGTTTCCCGGTACAGGATACAAGGAGAACAACAGCCCCCGAAGTCGCTTATTCATCGAATTCACAAGCGCTGTCCATACCTCCTCAAGAGATTGGCTCTCATAGTATGCCGGTATCTTCTCGGGCCAGAGGACAAATGCCAGTCCTGCGACTTTGTCCACCGGGTTCGTCGACACCCGACTCCGCATCTCCTCCAGTGCTGGAAGCACCAAAGATGACATGTCCTGCACAGGCTGCAACTGCTTGTGAAACCTGGTCAATAGCTCAGTCTCATACTTCCCGTCCTTACACTCGGCATGCATTGGTCCGTCCGGGGTATCCCCAGCAATCTCCCTGCTGTTGCCAGTCTCCTGTAGTGTCCATGCACGTCTAAACCAGGACCGATCACTCTCCAAGTCACCCTCCTTCAAAGTCAAAGGCCGACCCAGCCCACTCAAGTAAATCACCACATGGGCCTCGTCATACACTGCTCCGATAGTGGGCACATCCAGCTTCCACTCTTCCGTGCGCACATCCTCCCCCGGTCCACCCATCTGTCTCAAACAGAGAACGTCCAACCATGTGTACTCCAGTCCGAGATTGAGCATCTCGATGCGGATTAGTTTGAGGTTAGCATCCTTCGGGATGGGAACGGGCCATTCATATCCGTTGATGGACGTCCACACGTCGGCGCGATCCTTCTCATCCATCCATGCGTGCGATATCGGCCGACGCTGCTGGGTCCATTTGTCATCAATGACCATGATCCACCATGGCACCACCCGATTGCTGTACAGATCCCAGACACGTCGAGGTGGCAAATGCGGATTGATGATCTGGTTAGCAACGAGCACTTGTTGTCGCATCTCCCGGTCCTCCTCTCCCCATTTACAAACTTCAGCTTGTTTAGTGCTCCAGTTGTGGGTGTACCATATTCGGCGAAGGCGACCGTATGCCATGCCAAAGTCGTAGTCATTTGTGATACAGTCTTTAAGAAGGGAGGAGAGGGATGGAGTATCCAAGGGGTGCGATGTTCCAAGTATGCTATTGAGTTGATCCAAGAGGCCCTGAACGCCGAGGGTAGCGCAGGGTGTGTCAGCAAGGCGGGATGATATCACGGGCGCATTACCGGTGTACGCCCGTTGCTTTGGAACGATGATCGATGATTCCGGTTGGCCCGTCTCAATAAAGGCAGAGATGGTAACTTCAGGAAGAGAGAGATGCTGAAAATGTGTTATCAGTGTCCCTCCTGCTTGCTTGCCGACTGACTTACCTCTACAGACCCTGTCTGATATCCATAATTATCATCATTCTTCATCACACCGCCAAAAAGCGATTGCTATAAGACTTTGGACGGTCCCAATGTGATCACACCGAGTACTCGAAGCGAGAGGAATGAATGATACGTACTATTGGCTCAGAAGGTGAAGGGAGTACTGAGCGAAAATTCAAAGGTGTTTGCCTTGAGGCAACGCAAGTGACAGCTCGAATCGGAATCCCCCGCTCCTCCACTGCCCTGCCCTGCCCACGCTTGATGTTCCTCGTTAACGTCATCCTCCTCATCCTCAGCATTCGTCTTGAGCGTAGCAGTCTCTTCAGAGTCAGCTTGGGTCATCCCGCCATATCCAACGAAAATGAACCATATTTGATGTCGGCCTTGCATTGAAACAGTAAATAATCCAAGCCTATCTGCACAGAACTAGAACCGCGCTATTAGACTAGGAAAGACAACAGCGCCCCAGGCTTGTTCCATGCGAATGCCTTTACCGATGGGAACGAGTTTTGTGGTACAATATACACGGTGATGAGACACTACCGTCATTCTCTGTCCATTTGTTGCTTTCGGCGGTGACGCAAAGTAGGGATGATCGACGCGTAGGGAGAGGGAGAACAGAATAAAGATCAAGAAAAAATGAGAAAGATGCTGCACGGAACGGAGTTAGCATTGGTGAGAAGGAAACAATCGAAACTTGAAAGCCCGCCACGTCTGCCATTTGGTGACGTCATGCTTCTTGGTTTATATACGGCAAGCAAATTTCTCTTGACACTGAACTTGAGCAATTCTGACTTTTGGCTACAGCTAACTAGGTCTCGAGACGAAGGCTGCCTTTCCCCATGACAGATGCACACCGAGAACACAGACGTCGACCTTGAGAAAATTGGACTCCGGAGACTCTGAGCAGGATTACGCTTGTGGGATGATGATTTTGACTCCTCCAAGCGGGTCGATGTTTCCCAAGGTGCCGGTGAGCTTTGAGTGACAATGAAGCTATTTGTGCAGGAGGAGGATGGGAAGGGGAGTGGCGGGATTCGTATTGGATATCCTACGTTACGATTTCGCCTTCACTTGTTCAAAACGACTTCAAGCCTGCGACATATCTATCATTGTGTACGTGCAGCATCCTTCTCCCACCCGTAACTCATAGCACAGTCGCATCAGTTCATACTCAAGATCTTCTCACCTACGCTAATAGCCACCGTGACGTTTTGACACCATTCGATGTAAACTCTGTTGTCTAAATCCGCGGTTTCTTCATACCATACCATTTTCAACCCCGAGTCTGTTTCCCCTCAAAAACTACTTTTGTTTGATGTTCCCCCAGGTTTTGCAGACGACGAGGTGAGCTTCGTACTTGGTGATATAAGACCTTTCTTCGACGCTGTACAACAGTTCAATGATGACGCCTCCTAGCGTGATCATTTCTACTCGCTAGCATGGGGCTGGGTTGATCGATTGATCGATGTATCCCCCAAGTGCAGTCATGCCATGCACTTGAATTGTAAGCCTATATATTGCTTGTCTCTTCGGAATCTAACTAATATATGCTCACCAGCCTTTGACACTGGCACAATAGATGCCTCGGTCTAAGCGCAGTCGTAGCGAGGATGCCAGCTAAATATTTCATGGTATTTACATGCATGTAAAGCAAGTACTTTCACCAGGAATTTAGTATATGACACCTGACTCGCATATTTTACTGCGGAGAATACGAAAGAATGATGTATTCAGAGGGAAAAAAAATGCACTGAAGAATGGGATTGGTACGAGTTATCCAGCCGGCTTGCACTCTCTCCCCATCCTTCTTCTCATCCACGATACATGCATTAGGAATCTGTGTCGCCGGGGGATGACCTTAACTGCGCAACGACTGCAGTTACCTTAAGTGCAAGATCGTCGTCGTCGTATTTCAGGTTTCAGGAGGGATCGAAGAACTGCTTCGTCGAGCACCACCTTTTCCATAACGTAGCGAAAGTCGAGAAGAACAGTATTGAGCCGGGATGCCATAGCTTACGTCTTGCTTTGACCATCATGCATCACTATCGACACCGTAGTATCCCGACCCTCCCAGAAAAGACGCAGACGTTCCTCCACATGCACGCACGACGCCAAGCCCCATTCGTTTCTCCAAAACGCGGTGACAATTTCGCGAAACGGGTATCGGCGTAGCAGGTACAGACGGTAGATGAAAGGAGAGGGCGTATCCGATGTCGGGAGGTCGTCGGAAAGGGATACAGATCATTCATCCGTTCGACAGTCCTGGCTTGGCGTTGACGATTAGTCGGGAGGTTGTACGTCTTGCAGTGGGAATGGCAGAGTGTGAGTGTTTGCGTTGCTTGCTGCGAGGGAGGATATCTGCATAGTGGAGGGCGCTAGTCAAGTGTCCAGCTTCCCCATAGATCTCCGCCAAAGTCGCCCGACCATGTCCTCCCTCGAAACACCGATGTCGAATGCCTCAACCCTCGCCTTGCAGGACCTGCCTGCATACCAGCGTTTGATGTCGACCCGCGAAGCGCTATTGATGTGGAGGTTCCATATTTGTGGAAGGGCGCAGCTAGTAGAGGCGGGAGTCGCGTGCATGAGAGGATTCAAAGATGCAGACGCTCCCGGAACACAATCCCCAACCCTGCCCCCGCGTCTCCCAATCTGCCACAGCTTGGCCATCAAAGCGTTGTGCCCACAACTGGTCTCTGGCGTCTGACTACGTTCCTTCCATCTGTACGCGAGGTGCTGGTCTTGCCGTGTATGCACTTGAAAGACTGGTACAGGGTTAATTTGGTTGCGTGGAGGGGTTAGATCATGACGGCTACATGGTAGAGGAAGATTCCAGGGTAGGGTAGACATGATAGAGAGGATGTGGATGTGAGCAAGCAATCGGCAAGTGCTTGTAGAGATGCATCAATGCATCGCCCGCATCTTGCGGCGGATCGCCAGTACTGAGGATGGCGCAACGAAGGCTGCATCTGGATTGGACCTGAGCTGAATCCGTCAGTCCTGCTCACCGAGGACCCTATCAGTTGGTGCTCATCGGTGTGGCTGGATGGCAACGAGTTCGCGCTGGTGACGTAGTCTTACTCGGCCCAGTCTCATTCCTCCAGTCTGACGCGTTAGCTTTACTCCCTTCTCTTCCTTCGCGTTAATTGGATATCCATAAGTCTGCCCTTTGTCTCTCAAGGACTCTCACAACCGAGTTCCGACGTCTGACACGTCCATCTCATCTTTCCTTCCCGCTCTCATTCAAACCGAGCACTCCGAGTCCCCTTTCACAGGCTCCTGCGACACAAGCGATTTCGCCATTACCATCTTTTGCCAGACTCGCCGTATCAACCACACTCAGATTGTCCTCAGGGAATATTCCAGAGAGTATTGAATATTCGGAGCACAAAATAGTCAACGCACACATGCAGGCACCACCTTCGAACAAGTTACACTCGGCCCTTTCTCAGCACAGCAATGGCGCCATTTCCTCTCTGGTTCCTACCCGCACTCCCTCGCAGAAATCAAGGACCGACTAGTGCACCTCATTAGCTGCATCAGGAAAAATGTCGTACCATTGCCATAGCTTGCAAGCTTATTATAATATCAAGAAGCAGTCACAAGGTATGAAATATCTCATGATGCATTCTGCCTCGAACTTAGATGTTACAAACACATTATAATGTCATTACAATGTCAGTAATTAGTCTCAGTATTATAATGCCATTATATTATTCAAAACTGTTACAAGTCTTTTAGCACGTCGTAATGAGCTTCAAGTAAGCATACCACTTGCACATAATCCTCACAGGATTGTCTTTTCCCATGATTATAATAACTTATTATTCACTTCGGACACCGATAAAAGTAAGGAATAATATATATTTATGTCACAGTTTGTACGAGACAACTACGCTGAAGCTGCTTCCTCAGGCTCTTCATTCAAGACATCACGTAATGGCTGGCGCTTCACCTTCTTTCGTGCCTCTGCTATGGCCTTCAAGCGGACTGCCAATGATTCCTTTCCCGCAGGCCTGTCTCGACGACTCTTCTTACGCTTAACATCCCCAAAAATTTTCCTGTGCAAACAATAACATTAGAATGGTTCATAAACAATAAGAAAGGACTTAACTCGTCCCACCACTCCAAGAGATCCTTTAGTTCATCTTCCGGCATTGATTCCATGATATCCACGAGCGTATGATAGAAAAGCCTGTAGTCAAACTCTCTGTTGGAGCTCCAGACAGACTGAGATGACAGTGTGAATCGAACCTAGATCATGTAAAGAATATAAACAACAGAATAGCTAGCAAACAAAAAGAACGTACAAGCACTGCAAGGTAAGCTATTGCGGGTACAGTCATCTTTGTTATATCGTGCTTCTGACCATTGCCAGCTCTTGTACTACGTGAGGATCCTGAGAGATTGGCGTATGATGGTCCACGCCAAATATGCAGGCCACACTGTTGTACATCAGTTATATCGCTGATCTTGAATTAATAATCTGCATACCGATACAAGCAGGTCATTGTGCATGAATCCAACAAATTTATCCTGGGGATCCATCCGTTCATTGGCATAGCAGAGGTTGCACAAGTCATCTGCTTCGACAGGCTCAGTACCATTAATGATGTTCTGCCGAACTCTAATACAATGATGAGATGGCAGCCCCAGACTCATGAACACACTTACTCATCGTCATCCCAGTAGAGTTCCGATGGACATAGAAGTCGACCACATTCCGGATGTGCAAAGCCAGCTTGTGTTGCATGTTGCATGGTGGGGAAACTGGGGTTCCATGAGTGCCAGTTTGAAATCTTCTCCTTGACGCCATGTATATCTGTTGTTCGAACCTGGATGCGACCATTATCCATCTATATCAAGAATGAATGGTAGGACCTCTCTCTAATACACCAATTGACAATGCACCTGAGCATACACATGTTTAATATGATCTGGGCCACCTTCATGCAGTTCATCGTGGAATGTTGGCCTCAGCTTGAGAATGGCTTGGAACTTATTGAGACGTCGATTCTGTCTATAGAACATAGGGTAAGATATAGAAGGTGAACAGAAATAACACGAACTCTTCGGTGTGCTGACTATCGTCCTCTTCCGGGTCATGAGTGTATCCTTCTTCTAGGATAACTTTGAACGGTGTAAACATTTCTACCGTGCGAGCCGCAATCTTGCCTAGAGTAGAATAATTTTCGAGTCCGGTTGAGGGATTGGAGCTAAAACTGCATGAACAAGATGTAATCAAAGCAGAAAGATGCATACTGATCATGGTCAGAAGACTCTCTATCCTCAGAAGACTCTGATTGATGCCTAGGACTAGTGGAGCGTACCCGACTGCGACCATGAGCAGGAGAGCTCTGTCCACGTCGTGGAGGGGAAGCAGAGTGCCGTCGTTCCACCCCAGGGCTGGAACGCGCATGGCGAGCCTGAGAAGACCGGCATCGACCACGAGCTGAGGCACTTGTCATGGTTCTATTACGGCCAGGTGCCGTTGTGCCGCTTCTAGAAGACATAACGTGAAGATCAAGGGTGAACATGTAACAAAAGTGCCACAAATGTGAGCAATCAAAGGTGGGCCAAGAGGGGAAAAGGAAGAGTAGACTGGTGACAACATGAATAAACACTGTGGTTATACTGTGCCTTATCGGATAACAGGTCACACATAGTAACGGGTCAAACACTCATTTCTCGACAACCATGCCACCTTTTCATGAACGGTTTTTTGTAGATGCTAGATATCATAGATTTGCATATATTTACCAACTATCATACATTCATGTTTTAAACTCACTCAGTAATGAAGTGATTGCTGTGACAAATCATAAAAATGTCATCGTCGATCCACCCTCATGCAAGTACTGGCCGGCACTGACTGTTAATATCAGTCTTGGACCCTTCTATTACATCAATGTCAACTTCCTTTTGCTATTTAGGTGGTGTCAGGGAGTACAAGGCTATCACACCCATTGGAAAATAAGTCCAGGATACATACAGTTGGGTATGTCTATCTCAAAATTGGCAAGGCCATAGCTTGTTCATTTGAGTCTATCCTAGCAAATCTTTACCCAATTTTGTTCTCCATGAGTGCCTCTCACTCATGAAAATTCACCGTGAATTTTTGTACATCTCAAGCCAGTTCTACAAATATTTCTTAGAAGGCTATCTGATGGAGCCGAAGATTTCCTGCTGACCACGAATGAGTATTGCAGAGACAGGAAATATCTTTGAGTGAAGATTCAAGTAGATTCCGGTATTCAGCATGACTTCCTCAGACAATGAAGGCCTGATTTATCCTCAAAACACAAGCACGGTAGACTAACTTAAACTCAAATGCTGTAGTATTGAGCCCTGTCAAGTGGTGGGTGACTCGTTACTACTGTAGCTATGGCAGTCATCGGGAGTTGGATTTGCCTCAGCCACGTACACACATATCCTCATCCTCATCCTCATCCTCTTGATTGCAGTTCTATGCCCCATCATGCTGATCCATTCGAGGATGAGCCATATGTCCAAGTCGACCCACTTGACCTCGAAGGCAAAACATATGAGGAAAAAATCCAGATGGCAATCAAAGCTATCGAGCGCAATGGCTTTAAGGTCAATGGCCGTCCTAATTATTCATTCAGTGAAGCAGCCCGAACATTTGATGTAAAGAAAACCACGCTCACTGAACGATTCCATGGGAGAAAAACACAAGTGGATGCACATGAGCATGAACGGAGGATGAGCCGTGGAGGTGAGGAGGCACTGGTAGAATGGATCATAGAGCTGGGACGACGAGGCATTCCAGTTCATCCATCAGCTGCGGCAGCATATGCATCAAAGCTGTGTGGGGAGGAAGTCGGAGAACACTATGTGCGTCGCTTCAGGATGCGCCATCCAGAGTTGAAAGCAAAATGGACTATGGGCTTGGAAAAGTGTCGAGCACAGGCACTTAATCCTGCAACAACCACAGAATTCTTCAAGTTACTTAAGGAGATATCAGAGAAGTACGACATTGCACAGGAGAATATCTACAATATGGACGAAAAGGGGATACAGTTGGGGATAGGGAAACGTGTCCTGGCATTGGTTGATCGCGACCAAAAGGAAGTTTACCAGGTTGAAGATGGGAATCGCGAGCTGGTTACAGTTATAGAGTGTATGTGTGCTGATGGAACAACACTGCAGCCATCGGCAGTGTTTAAGGGTGCACGAAGAGACTTGGAGTGGGGTCGTGATAATCCCTGTAACGCTAGGCGAGCATCCATTTGATTGATTGTTATATAAAGCTTACAGAATTTTTAGTATATCCCACTCGCCAAAGGGTTGGACAGATCAAGAGCTTGGATCTGCTTGGCTGGAACGGGATTTTGAGCCTCAGACAGCGGCGAAGAACAAGTCTGGAGGCTATCGATTACTGATCCTGGACGGCCACAATTCACATACAACGTACCGCTTTTGTTCCTTTGCGGAAGCGCACAAGATCATTGTTGTCTGTCTTCCCCCCCACACAACCCACCGTCTTCAGCCTTGTGATGTTGGTGGCTTTGGGCCTCTCGCTTCATGCTGGAAAGCTGTGGTGAACGAGGCAGCAGTTGACTATATTCCCATCCGGAAAACCAACCTTCTTCGATACTATGCCAAAGCTCGTGAGAAAGCTTTCTCTATAACCACAGTCAAGAGTGCATTTCGATGTACTGGAATATATCCACTCAACCCTGATGTTATCAAGCCATTGGCATTTGCACCTGCTCTAAACACCACCACAAAGGCTGCACAGCCAGTAGCTGCAACACAGCCATCCCTCCTAGTTTTGCAGGAGCACAACACTGCCGATCCTAATCCCAATCCTGAGCCCGCAGAGCTACCTTTGACGGAGGTAACAAACACACATGCGTGCCAATTCCGGCTTGCAAGTAACACAATGATGATGCCACGGCCAGCGGGAGCGTCTCGCTCAGCCCTGTTGCGAGAAAATGCCGAACTTCGAAAGCTAATGGAAATGGCTGCTTTTCAAATGGAAAAGGACTATACGCAGAAAGTTCTCATGGATCAAGAAAATGAGCGAATTCGAGGACATCTTTTTCAGAAGATTAACAAACCATCGAAGAAGCAGTCAAATGCCTATGCACGGCATATGACCTCAGAAGAGTCGTTACAGCAGCTGGCAGAGGAAGACTGGAAGGCGAAGATGAAGATCATGTTCACATCGCATGAATGGAAGGAGTGGAAGACAAAGTGTGCAACGAAACGGAAAGAGATGGCATTGGAGGAAAAGGAGAAAGAGAAGGAAGCGGGACAGGCAGAACGTGCTGCTCTAAAGGAGAAAAGAGCCAACAAAAAGGCAGAGGAAAAGACGAGAAAGGCGGAAGAAAAAGCGGAACAAGAAAGAGAAAAGGCCATGGAAAAGGAACGAAAAGCATTAGCAAGGACTCATGCTATGCAGAAAAAGAAGCAGGTGCAGGAAAGGGCAAAGATGGAGAAAGCTATCAGGAGCTTGGCTGCCAAAGAGGCGAAGGCTGCAGCTGTCGCAAAATTGGCCATGAAGAAGACCAGGTTGAGGAGCAGGAAGCAGACGCACACAGACAATGAAGAAGGCATCAATGATGATAGCGCAGACACTCACGATGGCGGAAAAGAAATGGATCCCCCAGGAGTATTACCAACATCTTCACCTGTCCCATCAACGATGCTAAAGCCCAGGCCACGTCCATGGCCCCTACACCGTGTTGCAATCATGTCTGGTAGCCAACCAACATCTCCTACATCTCTGGTACTTCAGCACCTGCCATCCACACAAAAAGGACCACCCAAGGCCATATTGATGCCGGAATCAGAGGCTGATGGTTCATGTTCTGAGTCACTTGCTAGCAGCGGTCCAAGGCGGTCTTCACGGGCCAAAAAAGTGGTCAAAAGGTGATCTTTTATATTGAGGACATGCTCTGTATGCAGGGTTTGTGTTATGAGCTTGTTAGAAAAGCAGCTGTGATGATTGACGTGGGGGAAATGGTGAGACGACGATGGTTGGCGGGTATTGGCTTCTTTTCGGAATTTCTTTGCTGGTTGACCCGGTTCCATGCTTTTGCCGGAATCTGACTCTCCCAATAAAAAAATTTATATCACAGAATCCGAAGCAGGCATAAATGTCAAAAGTACATAGAATAATAGCTTATATATTTCACTCGCTATATATAACAAATTTGAAGTGGTTTTTGTTATCTACAAGTGCAGGGGTCTCAAAAATGCTGGGTTGACCCGTTTCCTGGTCAGGCACAGTATACCAATTTCAATCAACAAAGCCATGTGACAGATGCACGTGCAACGCGTCGCATCGCGACAATTGACTTAATCACCTTTTAATCCTGAACGCAGCACCCTGATTTGAATGTCTAAATTAAACAGAAGTAACCGACTGAACAATCTATCAAAGTTCACCTCCCGGGCCACTTCCATCCGAGAACAAATCTTCTTCCTCATCAGACGGCAGCAGCTCATCTTCGTCTTCTTCAGATTCATTACTATCACCTCCAGAATACCTATCAACATGTTCATCAGAACTATGAGGGCTATGCATGTGTGCATCATTGCCATTCTGTGGCCATGGCTGATCATCGTTCTCAATAAGGACATCAGGATGTAGAAGTTTATCCTCGCGAGGGAAATTTGGTGGGTTCAGATGCCCAATACCCAGACCGAGATAGCGCATCATCATGTCACGGTCAACGAATCTGTAAGAGGTCAATGTGAGAATCGTAGGATGAGATTATAATCTTACCTCATTACATAGTAATTTACCCAGTCACCGTTGTTAAAATCGCGGAATTTGGAGGCAGAGAGAAGAGTATTCGTCTTGCCTAGATGAAAAGCAGGCTCCAGATGGCATGCCCGAAGTACATGAGCAGGATCAATGAAACCAAATGCCCCGGAGGGGTCATCCTCGGGAACATATCCCACACGATCCAGCCTAAGAGTTGATGGACCGCCAGTCCATTCAGGATCAATACCAAACCAACGTACCCACAGGAATTCCACATGCTGGGGCTTAGGAAATCGAGTGCCAGAGTCGAGCACATTTGCGTGATAAATGCCCAGGACGCGAGCGTACCAAAATGGGTGCGACTCAGGATCATCATCATTCGACATCACCATTATATCTCGCTTCTGTCCATTTTTTCCCACATGGATGTTGTCTTGATCACGGCAGACATCATATGTGGTGTAATTGAAGTGCACCGTAGCATGCGAATAGATGCGTTGCTGTTCAAAGGAGATCTGATTGAGTTGTGCAGATGAAAATTCAGCTTCCTCGCCGACAGCTGAGTGTCCACGTAGGCGTGATAATAGATGCTGCTTTAGTTTCAGGAGGAAGTCCTATGTGTATGCTCAGCCACAATGATTGCATTTCTAAGTAGGCAAATGCAAACCTTGAACGCTGGATCATCTCGATTCTCTGAGAGCCACTCGCGTAGATATAAGACCTGATGCTGGTCCACAGCAATTTGATGGTGCTTGACAAGAGCATGATCTTCCACAGCGACCTCAGCCAACTCATCTTGGTGAGAGCTAGACTGTTGGGCAGCAACCAGTTCTTCAAACATGCGCTTGTGTACCGTTGCGATCACATCATGCTTGACTACTTGAGCTACGGCCTTGTTCTTATTAGTCCGAGCATACCGACTCTTGACCACACGGTGCTCTAGTTCTCCCTGTAGACAAGCAATAAGCCGAATATTCCATGCAAAAAGATAATCAAACATACAATTTGTGTACTGTATGAATCGGTCGTTCCCACATTACGGATATAATACGGGTAGTGCCCAGTTGCATGTATCTTGAATGTTGACAAGCTGAATTCACGTGGTTTCTTTCCAGCCGAAGCAGAGCTCGATGCTGGCAAGTTCATGCTTGTTTGGGTCGAGGAAGCTGCCTTTCGCGGAGGTCCAAGCTTTATGTGAGCAGCCCTACGAGCGTCAGCTCGTTTGCGCTCGGCATACTCTTTATCTGTCTCAACCGTGCGAAATGCCTTGCATGTAACATCAGCGAAGTTACGCAGGCTGTTACTGAAACCCTTGTGAATCTCCTCCATGACACGCACTGAAGATTCGGTGTGCAGACGTAATTTCGCGAGTGAATGCCAATATGCAGTCAGATATAATAGATCCAGCACCGAGGTATTATGCGGCTCAGGTAAAAGTCCTTCAAGGCATGGTATGCAACACTGTCAACTACGTGAGCATTGATCTAATCCTGAGAAGCTGAGAGTCATCCAAACCTGCAGAATATCCTCGAAATCGCGTGCAGCCAGGCTTTTCATCTCAGAGACATTATGCGAAAATCGTCGAATCGTATCCCAACCAAATGGCGCAACTTGTCGAAACCTAGGAATATGTAAGCCATGGTTTGCAACTCTCAGACACCAGGACAACGTACCGCGAATTAAACTCTTGAACTTGAGACTGTCCCAAAGCATTCAGTATACGAATGAGATGCGTTATCAGCGCCTTCCATACGCCGAGTTCAAACTCATGCATCTGATCAACAACTAAGATCTCGAAAACTTGGAATAGAAACTGGGACAGGCACTCTGAAAACGCATTCTCTGTAGGCACCAAAGACGTAGCCTTGAGGAGATTCTCGACCTTCTCGCTATTGATGGCATATCCCTCATCATAAATCAACTTGCGTGCCTCGGCAACCTTGTTCTTGAGTTCTTCATCAACTTTGCGCTTCGTTTCCTCTCGTATTCGCTGGTCTGAGGTGGTACCAACACCCCGTATCTTGGATTTAGTGATGGTGCATCCGGTACAAGGACAGCCACCCATGTCACGTATCGTGGCGATAAGGACTCTATTAACAGTGTCAAGGAGTAGCCATAACAATGAAAAAAAGCGTACTTCTCAGGATAGTCAGCAGAATATGTAAAGATTCGTGGAAACACACGGCGAACAATACCATCAGCACACTTCATGACAATGCCATGCTCCATAGCCTCGATGAATTCATCATCGAGAAGAAGCTTCCAGACAGAATGGAATAATTCCCTTCGACAGTGAGCCATCAGAGGGTCACTCTTCTTAATACCGCATTCTCGTAAGAAATCTTCAAATGCATCGGAAAGCTAAATGGACAATATCAGTCAATGCTGTTTAGAAAAGCAGGCTACTTACGCTTGGAAGGAAAGCGACATGTTGCGCGGAATCGGATGAAGGGCGACAACGTAGATACTTGGACAGGTTACCGAAAAACAGGTATATTGGCCACATCTTAGCTTGTCCAAATTGAGCAACGTGTGTAGCATCTGACCAGAACATGAACGCTGCGATTACTCGAGGCAGATCATCATCTGCAACAGCAGAAAGTAGTTCACATTCTGCCTTGAGAAAGGCTTCAGAGGTATAGAGCTCTCCGTACACCCGCTCAGAAGGTGCATTAGGATCCGGGGGTTGCCAGTGCTCCTCGAACCCATGCCAGTGAAAGTCCTTGGATGCTGGATTGTCTTCAACCATGGACCGGAGGATGTGCAGAAGAGAACGATGGTGGATGTTGGGAATTTGGAATTTGTGTCGTGAGGCCTTTTCTGCGTCGGGATCTTCAATCCCATGTCGTCGTTCATACTGTGCTGTCTGCGCTTTTGCCTTCTTGGTTGCCTTCGTTTGCTTGACCATTGGTGGGACGTCTATGCTCACAGTTGATGAGGTCCACCCGCTTCCACCCCATGGTGATTGCACATCCGTGGCGAGTTTTTTGTCGATCGCAGCGAAATTGACACCACTGAGGTCGGTGTTTTTGAACTCTTCATCCGCTACGATGTCCTGCAGGGTTTCCCGCTCCTTGTCGCTCTTGTTGCTGCCGGTCTTGAACCAGCGGTTGAAGAGGAAGGCGCTGACACTGGGATATGGGTATATAATGTCTGCAATCTTGCGCTTCTTCCGTTCCCTAGTAGCAGTGACATTCAGGGCAACATAGGCCTTCTGCTGCTTCCCCATGTCTGGTATTCGTGTCGGCTTGCGGCGGTAAATCCTGGTCAATCCGAATGAATTCGCTAAAGTGCGAATTCGTTCATGAACATGTAGGGTGACTCTCGGACGACGTGAGGTATTGGTGGCTGCAGGAACTGTGCCCAAAGCTGGCTGTTGGAGCGGAGCAGGGCCTACTGGAAGTATGTCCTCCAGTGCAGCGATGATTTTAGCTGTTGGACGTCGAGTGTGCTTCTCAGGGAGAGGATCTGATTCTTCGACTTCCGGGATCATAGGTAGTGTATTATCGATGGTAGGAGGGATGTCTACATCTTCGGAAAAGTTGGGATACGTGCCAGCCTCCCAGTCTGTTTGCGACAGGCGGGGTGAGCCACTACTATGGCCATGGCGACGATAATTTTCCTTCGCTGTTTTGAGTGACACTGAACAAGATAAAGAAAGTAAAGAGACACACCTCAGGACCAACTATTGGACCCAAACTACGTGTACTACCACTGCCTTCTGCCCGAGTCGATAAACTTCCCTGCCTAGATTCATGGTCATACGTCAACTTCGCTCGTTTGGCAAAGGGGTCCTTCCCAGTTTTGAGCCGACCCTCCTTTTCCTCTCGAGCCCATATCTTGGAGCCTCGCTTGTGCGCCTTCGACTCGATTACTTGAACCTTTTTGCAGGTCTTCAGGTGTCGGTTGAACTGGCCATCATTTGAGTACTCCTTTCCGCAAGTGCATACTTGATTGTCATAGTCAATAGGCATGTTTCAGAGCCTAGATGAGCGGGATACTGCAGTGTAGGAGGTAGCAACTACTAGCCCGGGGCTCCAGCGAAAGGACGGCGGTCAAGCGCCAATGTACTTGCGAGGGGCTGACAATGAAGTGATAAAATATGAAATATATGATAATTCATTGCAAGGGGACGAAATATAGGAGGCCATGTCGACGCGATCATCATTGTTTGCGTTCAAGATAAAATTTCATCCGGAATTCCCACGAGACTAAAATGGGTGAAATACATCATAACTAATGGCAAGCGCCGGGGGATTTTCCTGATGTGGTTGCATTGATCTACGAATCGTGTTGTCCTTGTATAGTTCTCGGGACAAAAGAGAATGTGGTAGGCCGGACTTGTACTTCACAAACAACTCGCCAGTCTGTCGGTCAAATAAGACTACCAACTATGGCATCGAGGACGAAGCAATGTTGGATCCTGACAGTGGTATGGAGCGGAAGGTTGCGATAGGTTGGCGTTGCCGTAGTTTTCAATGGAGAGGAACAAGAGGAGAAGGTCGAAGATCAGAGATGACGCGGACGACGTAGAGGGGCGGCGAAGTTGGCAAAGAGGCCCTCGTTACTCGAAATCCACTAAGTCCAAGGCCAACAAGGATGTCGTCTCCTCACACTCTATTACCATTTCTAAGTGCAGAGATGGATGTTCCCAGACCGTTTCCCTCTGCTCCCTATCCTTGGCTCCGAGTCCAACCATCCTGACTGCGAGAACTAGCTCGTGGAGCTCTTCAGCCACCAGAGCTTTCGTATCATGATGAAATTCCTTAAAAACCACGACACCACTAGTACCAAGCTCATGCGGAGCGACACTGATGAGCTCATCGACGTTGAAGTTACTGTATATGAAAAAGGCATGAGCTGGGGGTCGTCGTACGAAGGATCACTCATCCACCATTCCCAAGCTTAACTGCGTTGAGAGCAAGCTCTACTTCATTACATTTGGTACTGATGTGCCTATTCTCTAGCGCGAACTTACCAGCGCTGGAAAGGTATACTTATTGAGCTGCATCCCTGTCTCGTCGCTAAATATTCCTTGATACTTAGGCCAATGTCACTACGCTTACAATCAGACTATGACCTGGCACTACCATCACCATGCCCACTTGATGGAAGGAGTCTCATTTCTCTGAGGATTTCTGGATGGGATAGACAGTCTCAGACCTCACAAAATGGCTTCAGACTTTAGAGCAAGATCGTCATGCTCTTTCACCATGACTACACTTCCTCCAGAGCTTGTGGAAATAATCGTATCCCAAGTCTGGTCCTCTGCTATGCCATCTTACATCCGAAAGTCGTTCATGACAACTTGCCCCAGGATCAACCGAATGTGGAAGGACATCTATGCCCCTATCGCTTCTCAGGATATGTACATCACCAACCTCACATTTCTAGACTACCTATGCGACATCGCACACCGCAAAAAATCCATTATCTACCACAACTTCATCCCCCGGCTTACCCGCACCATTACGTGCTTCATCGACCTCCGAGAAGATGGAAGGGAAGGAGCGGTGAAAAGAGCGTATTGTTATCTCTTCGGGCTACCGAACATTCGGGGTTTTGATGCACTGTTTCCGCATATTCCATACATATCTTTCCAGCTCATCTGGATCGGCGTTGGGCCGTATTCACCTTTACAGTTTCTCCGTGGTATACCCATTCAAGCACGTTATGACCGATTCCTGTCTACTGCCTTCTCCCTTGACTGCCCACGCTGGAAGACACAAATGGACGTATACATTGCCATGACGGATCCAGATCCTTCATCGGTCATACGCGACTCGACCTGGTCCAACACGTTGTGCCACTTGCGCGGTGTTGGTGTCCCTGGGTTCTTCTTTGGAATCTTCGTAGCATCTCTGGGACCGTATGAGATGTTCGTTACTGAGGGTGTCCGACACCTCCGTCAAACCACGTATATAGCTGAGAGAAATCTTGAAGACTATGATCCAAGGAAAATCAATAAGCGTTTGTGGATGGCTTCCAATAGGCGTCGCGGTACGTTGATTAGGTCCCCCGTTCTATCTGATTAGTCTAACATCCCTCAGGTCTAGTATTGAGGTGTCTCACTAGTCCCTTCCACCGTTGGGAATATAGGCATGTGCAGTTTCCTATACCTTTTATAGTTACCCAGAATAGGTTTGGTGTAGAGTCGCTATTTAAGGACATTATGTTTTGAAGAAATACTCAGCGTATCCTGCGAAGATAGGTTGACCCCTGTAATTGTAGATCTGCATTCTCCTTATGATGACTGTGTGTGCTAGTAGATTGATGCGTCGCAATACACACGAGAACCTGAATGGATCCACCGGCAAACAACTCCACCAGGGAACGAATGAGCTTCCATAGTATGACATACCAATGTAATGGATACCGACACCAAAAGGCCGCCAGGATGGAGATCACGAAGGTTGGAATCCTCGACATCTTTGGCTTCCATCAGAATTTCCTGTATAGCCTTACCAGCTTCGATATAGCACTATCAGCTTCGAGGAACTGAGAAGTCATCTCCTTCTCCACCTGTTGTGTCCCTCAGAACTTCGTCGTTTTTCGCTTTCTCTTTCCGCAAGTGCACAAAACCTGACCAAGGGCTTTTCCATAGTGAACTTCATCCGTCACTTGGTATCGCTTGTTCGCCCGGTAGCTCCGGTGAACTGCTCGTAAGGTCGGTACGAAGCGTCATAATGGAAGTTCTTTCGGTTCGTCTACGAGTTCTGGAAGTATAACCGGAGTTCTGTGAGCTCCAGAACCTTCTGACCTGGCCTGCTCTGCCCATCGACACCACCTCGAATATCGAGTGTCCTGTATAATCATCTCCAATAAAGACGCTGGCGAATCCTTTGCCCATTCCAGCAACACCGACCAATGCAGAGGTCTACAGCGAGCCCTGTTGCCAGTACAAGCATTTTGCGATCTCTTCCCAGAAAAGTGTGTCTCGTGAACGAGTACAAGATCTTGGCTTTTGTTCTTGATATGGGTTCTAATGTGGCCGGGATCGTAAGGAGTGGGGACGGAGATGGTATGGTTATGTTCGACAATCTGTTGCCTCGTCATGAGAGCCACCTGTGAGTTCGCTGATTTTGATGGCAAATACTTTGAGCTTAGCGCAACCATTCCTTGGACCAATGTTTTCATGGAAGTAATGCAGACAATTTTGAAAGTATCAAGGTGGGAAGTTCCCGTAGTCTCGTTATGATATTTGGATAGCTCGTTAAAAATTGGATCTCAGGATGAAGGGATAGTCAGTGACAAAACCAGGATGCATCCCAAGATCCATACCTTTCCAGTGCCAGTAGGCTGCAGGCATGTAAAAAGAAGAATGGACACATCGGTTCCAAACGTAATAAGGTAAAGCTCGCTCTGAACATAATGAAGCTTGGAAATGGTGAATGAGCGAGCCTTCGCCTGAGGATCCCCAGCCCATGCCCTTGTCGTGCAAAGCAACTTCGATGAGTTGACGTACGCATCGGCGCCACTCCGTGTGAATTTGATAAACAATCACGTCGCGGTTTTGGGGGAATTTCGTCATGACATGAAGGCTCTGGTAATCGAAGAGTTCTACGAGCAGGTTTCCGTAGTCACGAAAGTTAAAGTCAGAGCCAAGGATGGAGATTATGGAGAGATGTCGATAGTAGTGTGTTGTATTTTGGACTGTATCCTAGTACAATGCTTGTAAGACCTCTAGTCTCTGGGTTACGAACTCGTGAGGAGTTTGCCCATTTACTTCACATATTTATACTAAACTACACCTATTCTAGTAATTTCTATACAATCATTCTCTTACCAATCTCTTACTCAGCATGCCAGAATGCCGGATTGCCAGAATTATCTCGCATTTTCCAACATAGTGATTGGGTTTGGGAACCATCATGATGACGGGACAGTTTTGTCGACCTTGGATTTGAGGGATCTCAAAGATTCTCTGACAGTGATTGCCTCCTCGCTAACTGCAGCCTCGCAGCCCTTGCCTTTGTCGTCCTCATCTGACCATCTCTGAATTCAAAGCCTTCTTCATCCTCTTCCTATTGTTCCTCTTCGTCGAAACCCCAGCAACACTGACCTCACTGTCGCGTCCCTCCATTCTATATTGGTATCCAACGCTACCTCGTTCTCGATGCCAGAGTTGGTATCTTTGACAGACTGATGTGTTGTTCACTGGTTCTATCTTCTATTGGTGGTCTGCTACCCCACCCCCCCGTCCTTGGGCCATTCTCGATGTGACAAGTCAAGGAAGTAGGTGTGCTATCCAGTGGTTCTTGGCCGGTCTGGCGAAAGATCGTAATCACACCAAGAAAAGTAAAATTTCAGCTGAATTTCTAATTGTCCAAAACTAAATAAGAAACTGGTGGGATACCATATATAGGTATGCACCCTCTCCTGCCCCAAGGCGGGATGGAGCGGGATTCCTATATATGGGTTTTTCCTGGTTTTGGAATTAGTTTCTGACCAACAAAAACTCGGCTGAAATTTTACTTTTTTAGTGTGAATGGTAAAATCATTTGTGTTATAGGAGCCAGTGAAGGATGATTCTGAGTCCTATGAATATAGGTATCGGTTATTATGCCAGTTTGAATTATCATGGGAAAATCTATTTGAGGTATCAAACCTTATCAGGTTTTGCCAACTCTCCTACTTGGCCTTACTGTGGGAATATTTCTATTCAATGTCATCTTTATCCGCTTGCCTGACCTGTTACTTTCCATTTTGCTTCCACTGTTTCACATACTCACTTTCTTCCTCTTTTGCCTGGTTTCTGTCTTTCTTTTTTTCTCATTTGACTTTCATTTTTTGCTTTCATTTTCTGTCTTTCTGTCTTATATTCTTGTTGTTTCTTTCTATTCTTCCTCATCACCCCATAAGTCAGCTTGTTCATCATCTCTACTTCATCTATTTCCATGTAGCTTACCCTATCATTCCAATATGTCTTTCTTTCTCTTCTTCAAAATGTGCCTCTGCCTCCACCTCTTCCCCTTCTACTTTGTACCTTACTGTCTCTCTCCTGTGCTTGCCTCCCATCTCTATCTCTTCCTCTTCATACTCGAACCCGATTCATTGCTTCATGTTCAGTGTGCATTGTGGGTTCTTGTCGCTCACAACACTCTTGTTCTTCACAGTATTCTGAAATAATGTCAAGGGGGTCCTAATAATGAATTAAAAGACAGTGGGTCAATTAAATAATTTTGTGCACTGGCGATGGACCTACCTACCTTCACGTGACATTTATGATGTCATTATACTAAATTTGGGTATCTTTCAACTCAATTCAGTGAACATTTTGCTGTGATATTAATATTGAAAGTGTTTTGAACATAATCTGTAAACTATCAAGTCTAAATCATGGCTGCGCTCTAATGGGATGTCATAATGTCATCATGTCCAGTCAGCAGGGCCACTCTGCAATGGCATTGACTGAGTGTTGGTATGGCTAGGTATGATGCCCTAAGATAAGTAGCACACTCAGTAGCATATATTGTATCATGTACTCTCTAAAATTTACCCTTGAAGCGCATTTTTAGACCTCCAAAATGGTGGTCAACTTTTTTTTTTCATGACCTCCAGCTGGACCTACCTACCTACCCAGTGTTCCAGGCTGGAATTCCAGTACCCCCTTGAATAATGTTAGTTTGTGTGTTTATTCATTCATTGCTCATGGCTTACCGTAGTGTGGTCGCAATATCATTTTCATCCTCATGTGGCCTCCTCAGCACTTCATGAATATGATGGAGCATTGCACTTTCACTATATCACCTATCCTGAACATATGTGGCCTCGGTTGGCTGGTATTGTTTATTATGGAGTGTGACACTTCACTGCATGATTTGTAGATGCAGAGAACTAAGTATAGTTTAACAATGACATTGCATTAGGTAGACATTCACTACATGAAGGTTATATTGATGACATCAACATGATGTGAGACAAGATGGGCAAAGACCATGACATGTTCATATACAGGCAGGCCAATATATGAAAACTGGTGTGCCCAATGGAAAGAAAATTCATAGGACTTGGACATACCATGCAGATGCGTTGGCCCTCACCCCACTAGTAGTGGTTGATTGAGGACATGGAGATGAGGATGGACACAGTGTCGGACATCCATGTCAGAACCTGGCTCTGAGAGTCCTTGAGACGAGTTAATGAGATACTTGCACTATGAGCATATGCAAGTCAGGAAGTTTTTATCGCCATCTCCTCCAGAGTCCAATCTTCCATCAACGTCAATGTCTGTTTTTTGCGCTGCATCTGTTGTTGCGACTGCAGCCTATTTACGTGTGTAATTTTGCAATCTAAAGTGTTTTACACACATACTGAGATATAGTGAGCGAGCAGACTAAAACTACGTGTCGACACTAGTGCTATGCGGTGCAATGATATGGAATATAACTTATAGCATAAGAAGCAACGGGATTCTAAACAGGACTTAGTCACGGCACTGTACCTGACAGGCATGCGCAATGAGAAGGCCAAACCCTATATCCAATGCCTTAGGCTCTAACTTACAAGCATGCTCATGGGAGCTAGATAGAACTTGGAAGATTGCAGTGACACGGAGAATACTTAGCACGCTCGCTAACTGTGATGCGTCATACCTGAAAATCCGGGGAAATCCTTAAGCGAGATGACAGATATCACCGGCACAAGCTTGGGCAATGGGCTTCGGCCGAAGTCTGCGAGCCCGCATTCCATTGTTCTGAGTCCCATTGTTCAAAGACTCACTTGTTGCCATGTCTATGAGAAGCCTCTGTGAATCCAAGAAAGAAGTCTTGAACGACATACGCCAGAACTGATAGTTCCATGCGCCTAGACCTGTCGGTCGCTAGAGAACAAGCCTGCGGGTGTCGGGAGGGCACCTCTTGGCATGTGTTTAGTGAGCTCACTATAGAAATGAGACTAAAACTGGGAAGTCCGACTCGGATGCTCAGTAAGGTGGCGGTGGCAATGTGCTACACATGTAGGAGTCTGGGTACTGCATGACATTTGTAATTCTAATTCCCCTGTAGTATAAGTAGGCTGGTTACAGTAGGTAGAGGCCAAGTTTCGAGCCCCCGAGTTCCCGTGCACGTGTTGAAGGCGGTACTGTAACAAAGGATCAGTTTGTGGCTTCGAGCTTTGCATAGAATTAGCGAGCTCACTCAGAGAAATACGAGATACCCTTTTGATAAGACTTTTGAGAACTTAGTCAGAGTGAATACGAATCAGTGACGCTGTTTCTGTTCTGTTAAGTGTGATAAGTCTGTTCGGAGAATGTGTTGAAGTGGAAATCTGAGATCTGTTCTGTTCTGTTCTGTTTCAGTCTGTTCCATGTCAGTTCTGTTCGAAGTTCCATTTCTGAATCTGTTTCCAAGTGCTTCTGAAGTGTTCTTGAGTCGAGATAAGCTGCTGGAGTTAGTTGGAGAATCCCTACATACAGTTGTGTAGCGAGCAGGCTAAGTCAGTGCTTGCCTGTGGTGTTCTTTTAGCGAGCTCACTAAAGTTTCAGCGTGTATTGCCTCTGTTTCTGTCGGGATCAGTGTCCCTTGTGTATTATAACTCAAATCTGCCTTGAAGGTTGCGTCGCGCCAGTGAACAATCTTCCTGTAAAAAGTTCCTAGACTTATGAATTCATTAGAGAAAGCTTAGCTTCGCTAAGAGCACTGAGGATAAGGGAAACTCTTTGAGATATTGAAGTGTAGTCAGATCACATTAGAAATAATCGCTCCCCCGAGAACTTACGAGGGTGATTGTAGTTTGTGTAGTTGTGTGAGTGTGTGTGTGGGTTTTTGAGGTTCGCCTTTTAGCCCGCTCACTATTCCACAGGTGCCCACAGCCAGCCTCTTCACCATTACAGGGAAATTGGCATTGGTCTTGAGTGTTTGGCACTCCAGCTTTCAACACTTCCTCTGCCCCGTGCAGCATGCTGCATCTTCTCATTTTTTCCTGACCTCTATCCTCTTCTTCTCTTTCTCCCTATGCATCAGTGATCTACCTCACATCAGCACTATGAAAGCAAACAGAGCCAGATGCATGCAGCCTACGTGCACCCAAACGATGGCTTGTTTCAATGTCGTACAGCAAACTGTGCCGACACAGGTGATTTGCGAACCAGACCTTTGTGGGGACAGGGATAGGAGGATATTAATGCCAATGCCAGCATGTTGTATGGAGCAGGGATCTCTTGAATCTCAGTCTTGATATTCATCATGGTCTGATCTGAGCAGACATGCAGGAGGAACAACAATCCCTATTCCTTGGCATGGAATGCTTGTAGAGTGCAGAAGGCAAATAGATGTCAGAGAAAACACGTCCTTACTTGAGTCTGTGCCATATCAACCTCGACTCACTCACCAGATGCCCTTCGACTCCTTCAGTAATGATTCATCTAGTCACCAAATTTACCTCTCTTCCTCTCCTAATTTCTCCACTGGTTCCCTTCCTCCAATTTTGTTGCCCTTCAACACTGAAGTTGTGAGTCTTGTCTGTGCCTTCTTATAACTTATTCATATTGTTACGGTTTATTCATTTTCTTTTCTTTTCTTACTCATTCTGCTTACCTGACTGTGCAATCACTATTGGATGGTTCTCACAGTACTATTAATATCATACTCATGGTGTATTTAAGTAGTAGCCTTCGCTGGTCTAAACCCCAGCTTCGGCTAAGGTTTAATCTACCCAACTTGAACTCCGTGTTTCGCGTCTATCTAAGTTCGTCCCTCATTCCATACCTTCTTAGGCCTGCAAGTGTATCAATCCACTGAAGTGCAAGTGGCGATCCTTGCTTGATCTAGTTTGTAGAGTTGGTGGCTAACATTTAGCCGAAGCTCATCCATACGTTGCCCAGCGCCACGTCAGAGAACGAATGCTGCCCAACACATTCAAAGAAAAATACCCTCTACACTTCCTGTTGACCAGAGAAGTCACCGCCATATGCTCGTGAGGACAGTGTGTGACTGTCAGCATATCGTGGGTGGACCAACGGCAACGCTGGAATTTTACACTTTCCTAATTCAATTCATTGCGTTAGTAGTGGTCATCTTGTTGATCATAACCAGCACATTCGACCCGACAAACCTTTCTTTACCCATAAGCATCTAACTTGGATGCCCAAACCCGACTACGAAACTGACCTTAACCTCATCATTACCATTCTAACTGTACTCGCTATCCTAACCATTCGACTGCTCATATGCCACTTGCTGAACTGCTTCCAACTGTTGCAGTAGCTTTTGGATTGCTAGCAGGAGTGCTCCTGGCAATTGCCCTCAGGCAATTATATAGGTGTTGCATCCAACGTCGAAGGGCCCGACTACCATTCCATTACGTTCCACACCTTCCGATCCCATACCCAGTAAACCCTTACCCACACATTCTGACACTACATGATGGACGACCCATCACACCCAGAGCAGAATCCTCAGATTCCAGGGAGTCTTCCCCAACCCCCAGAGCAGCCTCAGTCGATATCACAGACATACAAAGCATTGACCTTGGAGATGGTCTTGTCTTCGCAATCCCAGGACCATCCACTCCCCCAGGCATCGCAGACCTCCCTTCCATTAGAAGAGAAGAAGGAGGGAATGTGGACGAGGGTGAAGAAGGCGATGACGGCTTCACAGAGTTCGAAAGGATCTGGATCCAAAATCTCCTCGACGGCATCACGACAGAAGAAAGGGATGACCCCTATACAAGAAGTGAGTATCTCAACGCAGTCGCAGACACAAGAGAGTACTTCTGTGGAGATGACCTTGCGGAGGATAGCGGAGAACTTGGCCTTGGGGCCTCCACCGCAACTACCACCGGTCCAGCTGCCACAGACCCCTATGATGGAAGAATTGCGCCAGGTGGCAGAAGAGAGTGGCAGGGGATCCCTGTGGTGTGGTACCCCCACACAAGTTGGGTCTTCACCCGGGAAGAAACTCCTGTGGCCAGAGTATCAGCCCAAACCCCAGGGCCCGAGGACACCCCCATTCCATGGACCATTACCCTTCCCGCTGAAATGGAGCAGCGTATCTGGGACACCATTGAGTCATACAACCTGGATACTCACCCCGATACTGCTGGTGGAAGTGCCTCCGCCGACGAACTCTCCGGAGTCCCTGCTTTCACCCCGTCAGTTGCACCAAGAGCGTTCACCGCTCCTGTCCCCTTCAATCAGTGACCATGGACTGATGAGTACAATGCGCTCGTCGAGTCCAACTTCGACCTTCGAGCTGCCCAGATCACCCCAGAAGGAGCAACCCAAATGGACAGAGCAAGAACGAACAGCACACGCACCCAAAATACCGAGCGGAGGGCCATACGAGATCTCGAGTACCTCCCCCTCGAGCCAGACACCACGGATGACGAGGCACAAAGAAGAATCAGAGCCGCAGAGCTTCGATTCCATGAAGCACTTCAAAGAACAAATGACGAAGGCATTCTCATCGACCTCCGACACCGGTTCAAGAATGAGGTCTCCGATGAAGACTGCTCTGACCTCGCCGAGTGGAGAAGGAGGCGTAACCTCCGGGAAAGACGACAATGAGAACGCGGGGAGCCAAGGTGGGAAACCCGAGCAAGTCGACAGTGGGATGCCAAGGAGGCTGCCCAATTCCACGATCGCCACAGAAGTATTACGATTTTGCGCCTTATCTTATCTTATCGGTTCTATCGTAATCTCGCTATGCTAATTCTCCGGACTTGATCGCATTCACCATACGGGTATTGTGTGTTTAACGCACCGTTGCAGACACTTGTAGTATATTTAGCACGACCCAAACTGTATTTAAGTAGCTCGACTGCAGGTCTTACACCTCAGTCTTGAACTAAAGTTTATTCACCCGATAACTTAGTCTGAACTCACTCTCGCTCAACTAAGCGATAGCTCCCTGCACGCAAACCTGCGGACAACATAAAGCGCCTGACCGAAGTGCGAGTCACGCTTAGTTGTTTGATCTTGTTTGTGTAATCGGTCGCTAACAATTAGTTCGAGACTTTCTTACTCTTCATCAACAACCACGTTGACGAGCAGTAACGAATGAACCCTATCGAACAATATCTCACAGACCTCTTTGGACTACAAGGCTTCATTGCCGTAGCCTATCTCGCGTTCCTATATGGATATGAATACCGACGAAACCAGGAGCCAGTCTCCGAAGAAACTATCCCCATCGAAGCCCCCAACCCGGAGGCTCGACGACCGCACACACCCCCTCCCAACTACGTCGACGACCGACCCGAACCCATTATCCATTTCATCTTCATCACAGACGACGAGTGGATCACAGAAGACTCCGACTCAAGCGAGTCCAGTGAGTCCGACACCGAGATGGAAGGATGGCCCACACAAAGGGGCCCAGTCATTGAAGAAGAAGAAGAGCGAGGACTCTACGAACAAGGGATGGACCAGCGTGTTCTCTCTCCCATTACCGAGGAAGAAGACGAAGGGGAAGATGAAGGAAGTAACCCCTGGGACGCTCCCTCCCCCACCTCAACAGAAAACTCAGCCGCCAACCCTGGGTATGATTCCAACGGACAGCGCCTCTATCAAAGAGGACTTAGATATCGTCTGGGAGAAAGAAGAGAGGCTGAAGATGGAACTGGAAGCAGTTCAAATGAAGAAGGCAGCGATACAGAGGAGGACCACGACAGCGACGAGCTCCCAGGGCCGCGCAACAACTGGTCTCCCCCACGACTCGACTCCAGAGGAGAAACGTGGGGCTACTACTACGCCCGCAGCGACTCCTCAGATGACGAAGGTAGCTACCTCGACCTCGTCACCCGTCCAAACACCCCGATCATCATCAACGATCGGGCCGGGGAGGCAACTACCGAGCTCGACAACTGCGGACCCACGTATGACGCAGACGCCAGCTGCGATATATGCAGACAGCTTCAGGACTACGCCGACGCATGGCTCATGTACGAGGGAATCGAAGCCCCTGCCTCCGTCGTCCCCTACGCCATCTATCCACTCGCACCAGAACACCCCCACGCAGCGCCCATTCCTTTCATCGCACCCTGGGTCTGGGACAGACCCCGAAGACCAGACTTCGATCAAGTCATACTCAGGGTCAACGAGTGGGCAAGAATCATTCGAAACTGGAACCGCATCGTCACGGGAAGCACGGAGCCTTTCGAGCGAGTCCGACCTATCGGACTTAGAAGAAGGCGAAATCTACGAGAACCCTGGAACAGGGCGGACTTCGATTTACGGCAGCAGCATAGGGTCGGAGAGTACGGAGAGGAGGATATTATCCCCGAATTCGTGGAAGGATCTAGCTCGGGAGCCTACTGAGGCCGAGCTAGAAAATATGACATATTTAGAAATGCTGCGATGGATCGAAAGGAAGTTGCCACGAGAACTGTCATGGAACAGTTCGCCGCAAGGGAGGTATTTCCAGAAGGAAAAAACCTCACAAATCGGGGCCCAGGTAATCTACCGGGAAACCGTTTTCCACACCAACGTTCTATGGAACCAAGTACACCCGGATGACTACACGGACCCCGGAGAACGATACCAGGTTCCAGCACCATCAGAAGCGTCGACTGGAAGCACGGTGGACTTAAGCCACTTATCCATCCTCAGAAGAACCGGGTACGTTGACCCTAGCCGATTATTCGCTGCCGCAGGAACACCAGGAAGTGCAGGCGCGGCAGCAGCCGCAGCCGCAGCCGTCCCTGCGGCTCCAGCCCCTGCGCCACCAGGCCCTCTAACCCCGCATCATAACCCGGCACTACGATCACTACCGCGCCCGGCGGCAATTCCCATCCCAGCCGATCCTGTACAACCACCAAACACGCCACCACCCTTCATTGTAGGGGTAGCAAACACGAACCCGTGGGGACAAGTAAAACCGCAACTCGCGGACCCCCCCGAGAAGTTCAAAGGAGAATCCAGCGATGTGGACAGGTTCCTCAACCAATGTGAGGATTACTTCAACGTGTTCCCTCAACAGTTCACTATGAACGCACACGGACAAAACCCAAACCGGGTGGTGTTCTGTACGTTCCGATTCACAGACAAGGCATTACACTGGTGGAATCACGCCAGAGATGAATACTACGACGAAACATGTGGATACCTACGATATCCCGCATGGTATGTATTCAGACAAATCGTCGAAGAACAGTTTCGAACCGACGCGGAGGTAGAACTCAAGCTACAGGAGTTCAAACGCCTACGACAAAACACGTACAAATCGGCAAAAGAGTTCTTCCGGGACTTCGAACGCCTAGCCAAGGAGTCCGGCAAGCGGCACAACGAGGAATACATGATCGAAATCCTCAAGCCCGCTATCCGGAAAAATGTGAAGACCGCGATACACGCAACAGGAACTGCGCTACCACGCACGTATGCCGAGTGGAAGTTCCGAGTAGAACAGATGGACTACAACTACCGCGTGGGACTAGCAGAAGACGGGGGCAGAAACCCAGGAACGCAGGGCCAGCAAAACAAGGGAACGGGAAAAGCCGGAAGCTCCGGGAATTCCCAGAGTGACAAGAAGACAGGTACAGGGACCATGTACGGAGGGCAAGGACAACCGATGGAAATCGACAGACTGCGCAAAGAAGGACGATGCTTCCGCTGCGGTCACAAGGGTCATCGGAAGCAAGACAACAAGTGCCCGAAGGACGAGAGTACCTGGCTCGTCAAACACCAGCCCAAGTTCTCGCGTGCCCAAATTCGTGCCATGTATCAACAAGTGTTAAAAGATGAAGAAGGGGAAGCCTCCACGTCAAAGATCGAGGAGGTAAAAGACGAGCCGGCGGCGTAAGCGACAAACGCGCGTCGGCAAAGGACATAATTTCATTTAGTGGTGCGTCACAGAAACCCGCCGGACGGACTAATATACCGCATGTAGTACCCCGAGGCAATGACAAATCTTTCACGCTATCACAAAATGAAATTACCAAGTCGCATATAAAAGAAGACGGTGTACAGGGGATTTCCACCGTGCTCGAAGAAGAACCCCATTCAAGCTCCTCGGCCACCGGTGCGAAAGCACAAGCGGCACAGGCTGCGCAAGGCGGCGGGACACACGGGATCAAGGTCAACATCGCTCCATGGAGGGTAGGTACCGGCGCAGAAAACGGAGGAAGAGCGGCCGAGCCAGTAGTGGGTGATGGCGCCTCCAGGCGGGAGAGGAACGATGCAGGGCCTCGCCCGAAGGCGGAACGTACGCACCTGCCCTATGCGGCCAACTACCCCGACACGACGGAGCCGCAAGAGGGAACGCGAATCCCCATCAAGAAAACCGCTGCCCCGCAAACAACAGTCAAAACGCCCGGGGACATCATATATCCCCCTCCAATCACGGTGCGTCTCCCTTCGTCATCACTAACACATAATGGCACCGGGGGCTCGTGTTCCCCGGTGGGCGGGTCGGTGGGACCATTATGTGAAACTCCCATTTGTAATAAAAAGAACGTTTCCATCGAAGAAGTACCTGATGAGGAAGACGACTACAGTTATCAACAAAGTCTTAAAACACGAGGGGAAGACCCGGTGATCCACACCGAGGAGTACCCAGAAGACTACGAAATAACCGACTTAGAGGAAGAATACTACGATGACAAATGGGACAAAGGATGGCTTAAACCCCACAGCGCCGAGTGGGTGAGAAGAAAGATGAGACAGGAAAAAACAATGGAAGGAAAAATCGCCACCCTACGTATGTGGGTACATCCAAGACGCCTCATAGAAGTCGATGAGGATCTAGTACTAGATCTCATCAGGTCGTCAAAGGAAACCTACCGACAAAGGGAGCAGTGCCTGCAAAACATGGAGAACCTGCACGCTCCTCCACAGTACATTCGGGGAGGCAGAGGGAGAAGCGTAAACATCTGTGTCCAACTCGAAACCCTAGACACTGGACAAGTACGGGCAGTCGACGCCCTAGTAGACAGCGGATGCACCGGGAGCTGCATAAACAGAACGTTCGTGCACGAAAACGGCATGAACACTGTGAAGTTACCCAAGGCACAAGCGGTGTACAATGCGGACGGAAGCAGGAACAAGGGAGGAGATATTACCGAGGTGGTAGAACTACGAATGACGATAGGGGATCACCATGAAAAAATCGACTTAGCCGTCGTAGACCTAGGAAACGTACCGCTATTCCTAGGACACGACTGGCTCAAAGACATAACCCTATCATCGATTGGAAAACGGGAGCGGTAACATTAGCCCGATGTTCATGCCGCAAAATACCCTTCCTTCTCCCTGACGAAGATCCAGAACAGCGATGGGGAACCGAAGTAGAAGAAGGAGACACTATCCTCGTTATAGACTTCCAGGAAGCCCTCCACGTTCGGGCCATGGGGAGCAAAGCAAACGAGCTAGCTGCCAAAGCCAATCAAGCCAAGGAAGCAAAAACGTTTGAAGAAATAGTACCGGAACCATACTGGGAATTCCAAGACGTTTTTGCAAAAAGAAAACTTTGACGAGCTACCACCGCGTAAGCTGTGGGACCACGCAATCGAATTGGTGCCCAACGTGAATGCTAGCTTAGACTGTAAGGTCTACCCTTTGAACCCGGCCGAAACAGGACGAACTTGATAAGTTCCTAGACGAAAACTTAGAGTCAGGAAGGATCAGACCCTCCAAATCTCCCATGGCCTCACCCTTCTTTTTCGTCAAGAAAAAAGACGGTAAATTACGACCAGTACAAAGGATACCGAAAGTTGA